ATAGTAAAGTGAGTCGCTAATGTAACCGGTTAAAACTCAAAGTGGCGATGAGGTCTTAAAATGTATGAAAAGGGTCTTAAAGAAGGTCTTAAAAGGAATTCCATTTGACTTCAGGATTCCTGCATATACCCTGTTTTACAATGCATAAAAAAGGGTGAAGATCGAGATGACATGATGAAGCTTTTATATTATATAGTATATTTATGTCTCCATCTACACCACCAAAGATCACGATCCACACCTTACCTGTTTCTGAACTTGTTTGTATCCAGGTCCTGAGGAGATCTCTGCTGGCTGTGAAACTCCACTGGAAAACCCACCAGGAGTACACGTATGCCTGTGAACAGATGAAGTCCATACGACAGGACCTCACGGTCAGTTTGCAGCAAGTCTTTCATTTCTACCCCTGTCTTAGTATTTGTACAATGTTATCCTCCGTCTGTGCTTTTTGTCACGGTTATCTAAATGGGTTTTTATTTTCCCCAAAAGGTCCAAGGAGTTCGTACTGAATTCACAGTGGAAGTGTACGAGTGTCATGCACGCATTGCTCTGGAAAAGGTCAGTCTGTTTTATTTTCTATACGTTTTGCGGTAGTTAAAAATTGATAACAGTACATTTTATAATAATGACCGAATGTTAATTGTCTCCAGGGAGACCATGAAGAGTTCAACCAGTGCCAGACCCAGCTGAAGGCCCTGTATAAGGACAACCCGTCAGAGAACATTGGAGAGTTTACAGCATATAGATTGCTGTATTACATCTTCACCAAAAACTCTGGAGGTACGCTCACACTGATGGCGTTAAATCAGAATATGGCAATATCCCAAATGATATGACATTTATCCAACAGGAGTGAAATAATATTGTTCCAAGGCCATGTGTACAGCCAAGCGTGAATATTTTCAGTAGAAGGTCATAAACATTTTGTGCATGTAAAGATGTAAAGTCACTGTTCACATGTTATAAACAGCTTACATACATTCTTATCTCTTCCCTTCATATTTAAACGTTGGCCAATCATTGCCCCCTCCAGATCTGACCACTGAGTTGGTGTACCTGACCCCGGCCCTGCGGGCAGATGTGTGTGTGGCTCATGCTCTTGCACTCCGCGCTGCCTGGGCATTAGGAAACTATCACCGTTTCTTTAAGCTCTACAAAGAAGCCCCGCGCATGGCTTCATACCTCATTGACAAGTTTGTTGAGAGGGAGAGAATGATTGCACTTCGGGCTATGGTAAAAACGTAAGTGAAGGTCCAGAAAGAGTTATTTTCACATTTTAGTTCTCCATGAATGATGAGTTCCTGATTTCTCGGTTTCCTTTGTCCGCAGGTTCAGGCCCGACTTGCTCGTGGAGTATGTGCGCTCCAATCTGGGCTTCTCTTGTTTAGACTCCTGTGTGACCTTTCTCACTGCGCATGGTGTCACTTTCTACCCCGGTGACCCTGAAAAGATAGACTGCAAAACCAGTTCAGCCGCTTTGGCTGCCTCCTGAGGGGGTGGGGGGGAACACCATAAAGGGAGAAGTTAGGGGACCATAATGGAGCTTCACATATACAATGCACTGCACTTGAGACACATCAGCCTTTTCAGATAGAGTTAGCAAACTACAGAAGACCCACATAGAAAGATTCATGAATACTCTTAGATTCAGATTACAGATGTTGTTGGATAGGAACTGCTTTACATTAGGAGTGGGGAGTTTAGATCTGGGGTACACGTGTAGTGTCAGCAAAGAGAGTCAAAAGTCAATAGAACAACTCAGTGAGGCCCCCCCCCATGATTCCTGTTCCCTAGCGACCCTCAGATGTCAAAGCTAACAGTGTTCTGTTATGTGTTTTCCTTCCTCAAGTCAACAGCTTCAAGACCTGAAGATTCAAGCCTTGTAAACCAAAAGGGAAATACAAACAGCTGCCAGCCCTTCATCCTGCTCTCTCCTGTTTGAATAGAAGTCCACAGATTCAGATCACCCTTACACATTCCTCCTAAAGACTGTGATAAAACGCATGAGAGAAGGCGCCCGCCGCGTGTCTGAAGGAAGATGAGGTGGTTTGTATGTCCTGCACCGGTTGCCCCAAAGGTATCAGATGGCCGCGCATCATCCTGTTCTTCATCCTGATCAAAAGGCCAGTGAGAGCAATGAACTTAAGTCTTAAGTCTTGTTCCTGATTTGAATTAAGTTCTATTAATTCAATGATCCGGTCAAGAAATGGTTGGCCAGCTTTTGGGAGAAAGTCTGAACGTGATGACCATTGACTTTGTGTATGATCAAGGAATCAGGCAAGTGTTCTTCATCAGGGTGGTTTCCTCCAAGCTGAGCTCCATCTCCAGAATGAAAGCAGCCAGAAGCAGAGAGGGAGTCTGCCTCCAGCGGACGTCCTGCCAGTACCTGGAATCCAGCAGACCCCGGCCAACAGAAAAGTGATGAAGCCCCTCTGACCTCCACGTTGGCGTTCTTAACCTCACCAGCTGTTAATCAACAGAAAAGCTGCCATCTTTTAAATACAGCCAAAGGGGAATTCTGCGTGGTGAGCTTCAGCGAGAACCTGCTGCCTCTTCCAGAAACTACGAGCGGTTTGTATGATCTGTGTGCACGGCTGGTAAGCTAAAGGGACTCTCTGGGAGGAGGAGGAGGAGGAGGAGGAAGAGGACGGCACGGCTGAGATGCTGCCTCACTTTTCTTCTGTGTTGAATTTCTTCCATCCTTTGTTTTGGCAGTCGTGGCCCAGTACAAGAATTATGGAGCAGCAAAGCAGATTTTTATAATAAGCAGTTTAATGTTGAATTAAGTATGATACAATTTGACTAAACCCTAAAATGCCAGAATGGCACCAGTTAGAGCCGACGTGTTTACTGCACATTAACCTGTGCTATCTGAAGGTCATATGGTTGAGTATTAAATTACTGTCTAGATCAGATGTACACTCTTATCAACAAAGGACATGCGAGTTGAGTCAAGATGCTTTATGTCCATTTTCCCAGTTGACAAGTAATTAATAAATAAAAAGAGAAATAAAGGACTATTTACCCTCGGTACAGGACAGGACTAGAAGTATTTCTGATGTGATTGTGGTCCATTAGTCTTGAGGCTTGTGCTGTCCAGGACCTAAAATACTATTGGTGGAGGAGCACACTATTTTAGGTGATAATTGGTATTAAAAATGAGGTATTAGACAGTTCCAAATTGTTTAATAAATGTACACCTATAACAACAACACATTAGCTCCATGTTCACTTGGTTTGTTTTCCACCAGATCCTATAATGTAAGGACTCCTAGATAATGATAGTGTACAAATTTGAAGAAAATAAACGGGTCGTTTTGTTTATTTGAACAGTATTAATTGCTGCTGTAGAAATATTAACCCATTTCAGACTGAGGGGTAACTAAGCAGAACTTGAGTGGATGCAGGCTTGCTGTACATGTGTATTTGTCAACAGTTTATTTTTGTAAATATTGTATGATATTGCTGTGATTTATTTCCAACTAGTGCATAGTGTCGTTTTTTTTCCCCTCACACGGGTAAGTGTGATTCTCTTTTGTTTTCTTCTGGGTTTTGCAGAACTCTTTGACCATATGTAAATATGTAAACTAAAATGCAGATAGATCTGGGTGACGTTGTCAGGATGTAGAGGGGTCGATGATTTCCCCAGTACAGCCTGAAAACATTCAAACAGGCATTGTGGCAATATTTGATGCTCAGTTTTGAGTGACATGACCAGTCCCATTTTATTCAGGCAAAGCTCCTGTTGCCTCGATTGTATCATTGGCCTTTTTGTGGCAGTAAAGCTTGGCAGGTAGTTCCATGCAAAGCTGATATCTTCTCAGTGATGAACACAAAATGTTTAAGTCTTCAACCAATTTCCATCAGGTTGACAAAATGTTCTTGTAAACACTGGACCGTTATTTGTCTGTCAAACTTCACTGTTGACCATTTCAGCAAACAATTTGTAATGACAACAATCTCAACATGTTTTCTTTCTTTCCCCTTCATTTACCTGATCCCCTGTCCTCTTCACTGCCCCCCCCCNCCCACCCCACCCACACCACCAGCCCTCTCCTCCTTCAGCTCGCAGCACTGCTCACAGCAGGAGCTCATGGAGAGAGGATAGTGACGCCAGCCGGAGAGAGTGAGCATCCCAGTCTTGGTTTGACCCGCTCAAGTTGAAGCGTCACAGCTGATGAGATACATGGGAGCCTCATGATGAAATGTGGAAAATGTTGATGCTGCTGCTAATGTGATTTGCTGCTAACCCAAATATTGAAAATGTTTTTCTGTGCAATATGATGCCTGTTAAGTTTTGAGAAAACAATGCCTGAGGATTTACAAAGACCCCTTTTTACTGTTTGTCCAGATACATTTTGAATATTTCGCCTACATGTGTTTGCTGGTAAATTAGTCATAATTTGGTATTAGTTTTTTTAAATTCCTACTTATTATTAATCGCGAATTCTTTTGGATAATGTTTGCTCAGTTTTAGATTTGTCATTTTTAAATGCCTAAAAAAAAATGTGTCTGGACATTCCCGAACTTATCACTCATGAAATCACCGACAGTTAGTAACATTTCTCTCAGTATGCAGTCTTATTCAGGCAAGCTTCATATGACAAGTGGCACGTCCTCCCAAAAAAAGACTTTGGTTTCTTCTCATGTGAATGAGTTGAACGACAGTTAACATTTCTTTAAACATGATTGATGTGTGCACCTCTCAGGTTTTCAGCATTGATACAGTCCACGATGTTTACTTTGTTTATTTTGCCTTTTTTAGTAGACAATTCCACCCAGGAACTAACAATACACATTTTCATTTTGGATGTTTTGTTTGTTTTTCCTCCCAGTTGCCTGAGTCATGTTTTCAGTATTTTTTGCTCCCATGTTACTGTATACCTCCCATCAGTCTTTGTAACTCCTTCCTTGATATTTAATGGAAGAACTTCCCATGTCCCTCACCTCTGCTGTGTTCATCTCCGGCCATTCCCTCTGAACTAGTCTCTTCTCTGTTCTCACTTTCTCTTAACTCCTCTCCCTGCATGCTGTCCTCTCCTCTGCTACAGATCTCTAACCAGTATTTGTTCTCTTCTCATTCTTATCTGTTCCTTTTATGCTTGTGACCGTTTGCCATGAGCATTTAGTCACTCTCACTAGTAAGTATTGTATTGCGTCTGCAATGCTTTGATAGTTTATGTTGCGGCTCCCTAACAACTGAATCAGAAGGTTTCTCTGCAACGCCTCTCCATTTACAGATCCAACTTGAACTGCCATTTTGTAAATCTTGTGTATATATATTTTTGAAAAAAATAAATAAACTTCAAGAATAAATGACATCCAGTGTAATTGTTTTTTTTAAACATGTAATGCATTCATTTAGATAAATGGATACAACAAAAACACAAGTTAAAACGACAGAGTTTGGCATGGACGTTTTATTGTGAGTGACAGGCACCTGTGACACGAGCTGGATAATTGAGTTTCCTTCACTTTCTGCCTTTACACAGCTTTGTTTGACATTTTCACTTCAGCAAACACATTCGAGCTGCAAGAAGATGTCAAAGTGAATTGAATGGAGTTAATGGAAAATAAAGTTGGAGTTTTATGGTGAAAAAATATTTAGAAAGCTTAAATGACAGAAAAAGAAGAGTAGAGCAGTAACTAAATGTTAATAATATATACATGCAGATGGGCTAAAAACGAAAGAAAGAGAATTCAACAAATAGGAAAAGCAGGAGAAATAGTTTTAAAGCATTACTTTTTATACATATAGTGCCTCGAAGGATGGAAATAAATTAAACCAAGACATTTCTGTATTAACCTCCAATGAAATCCTGATCAAAATTAAGCCCCGTATAATACCAAGGTCGGCAAAACACATCTTGTAGAGAGAAAAAGGGGGAGAGGGGGGGAGAAATGAAACAGAACCTGGACAGCAAGAGACTTTGTTTCAAAGAAAAAGAAAAAGAAACTATAAAGAGCAATATGAAAGAGAAAGGATCTAATGAAGGGCTACAGCTCAGAATTATATAAATCAACTCAGAAGACAGAAAGCACTAAGTACGACAAGGAAAAAGCTAAATACAAGAAAGTAAAGCCAGACCTGCACAGTGCAGAGGAGCAGAACAATATGCATGCAAAGAGAGAGAAAGTCATTAGCAAAGGTTTGAGTCACTCAGAGGAAAGTTAAAAAGTAGAGATAGAAGATGATTGAAATATAAATCAATATTATACTGATAAAACGAAATCTACTAATAAAGAAGTCAAATCTGTTAATTTAGGTCAGAAAATAGATTAGATAGAAGGAGAAGTTTCATGAGCATATCTATATATAGGACAGAAGAAAAAAGAAAGAGTAAGACTAGCAGAAATGTCAGTTGGTAAAAAGCTTTATAATTAGAAAGTAGAAGCAGGAAACAAAGTGCAAGAAACAAAAGGAAAGAGGCTGCTTTAGGATTTGTGTTGTGACAATGATCAAGGATCAAGTCTTCTTTGGTATCAGAGCAGCGGAGAAGGACACAGTAAAGAATAAGAGATGGAATAAAAAAAGAATGGAAAATCTTACAAATCAATAAAGGACAGAATAGGAAAAGAGAGAGAAAATATTTTTTATTTCGAGGTAAACATCAAACACAGCAGAAAAGAGTGCAACGGAAACAAAGAGTAGGCCAAGGAGGAACTATCAATACAAACCAAGAATTCATTCAACAGTTCAGAGGAAGGGACGACAGTAAAGAGTGAAATAAGGATAATTTAGACAAGGGAGAAGAAGGGGGAACCTGAACTCTAACACTGAGCAGACTGGTCTGGTTCTAATCTGTCTTTGTGTAATAAAGCCAACAGCAGAACACTGCTTCTTACCGCAGCTCCCACAGTTGAACACGAGTATAACTGTGAGAATGTTTAGAAAAACAAACCTTCCCTGGGTGAGCAAAGGAGAAAAAGGGCTCTTTGTGTAGTGAGGTACGGAGCCACAGAAACTAAACTATGTAAAATCAGCATTTACAGGAAGAAAAGTAAAGAGAGAGAAAGCTCTGCAGAGTCAAATATCACACACAGAAAGGGATACAGGATTTATAATGAAAGCAGTATTAAAAGCTGAAAATGAATGAGAGGTAGATTGTTAGAAAGACAAAAAAAGGAAAGAAAATGAAAGTCCAACTAGACCCCAACAAACATTACTTATCTGCTTGTAATAATCAAACCAGTGTCACAGCTGGGTCTGTAACTGAACCATGTAGATGAGTTACCTCACTCATATGCTCACACGCACACACACACACACACACACACACACACACACACACACACACACACACAAACACACACACACAGAGACAGGCTAAATGGGGAGACAGGGATACAGGGAGGGGGAGGGGGGGTGGTGGTGTCATTTCACGATGCAGAACTGTGTTTCTGGACCTGAGCGATATTTCAGAGGGGGAAAGGGGGTCATCTGGTCAGCCTCCCCCTTTGACCCCCTCCCTCCATGGCGGCGTCTCAACTTTTCCCCGAAATTCAGCACGGACCCGAGTATATCAGGGGCTCTAGTAATAAAATATATAGATGGGGCCAAAACATTTATGAGAGGAGGAAGAGAGATCAAACTAAAGCCCTCTGACCGTGTCATGGTGGAGGTTTTCAAGCCTGAAGGAAATGTTATTAGTGGATGTCAAAGGTTTACTGCACTGCAAAAGTAATGACACACATTTATGACTAAATGGAGCCATACAAATCTATTGTGTTCTAAAAATTGAAAATCAACCTGTTAATTGAGAACAAAAATTCACACGTGTTTCCAGAAATGAGTGCCTGTGCTAACTTGTTTACAGAACAACAAAAATGCAAATATTTATACATTATATAGAATCTCCACAGCATTACAACAACAAATAAATACCACAATATACTTTTTTAAACAACAATAATTTCACAAAAAGACAACACAAGTCAGCTTTAAAATATTACAAATTATTCATTTGGCAAGCATCAGTTAGCTGAAGGGTCAAGCACAATGTGTAAAAAAGTGTTTTCTCTTTAGAACCAAACTCTTATATATACACTGCACTCACAATTATGGCATGCTAACATGCCACATCGTAGTTTATCATGTTATCATGGTATGTATAACATATACACTTGAGGCTGTACTGACTGTTGGAGAGTCAGAGGATCATTAGGGTTAATCCTCTAGGGACCTTTAACATCAGTATCAGATTTCACAGCAATCCATCAAATAGGTGATAAGATATTTCACTCAAAAGCTAAATTGTTAACCTCACCTGGGACTCATTCATTTAGTTTCACTGCAATCCAGGGAATAGCTTTTAAGTTATTTATGTATAGACAAATAGTTGGACCAGCAAACAGAGGTTCATTCATACAATGCCACCAGCATGTTTAAAAATAGACTATGTAAGTTGCTGCACTACAATTAGGAATTCGATTTTAGTACATATTGGGAACAAGTTTATTTATTAAGGAAATATATTTAAATAATTTCACTGAACTGGAATATTTGTTTACTTAGTTTAACAAAAATAAACACAGTAACATAAAAATGGCCTGTTGAGAAAACTTTTTTACAGTGAGACAAACTGTTGAATTTTCAAAACAAAAATAGACATCTTAACTTAACATAGGACCTATTTCTTTCCTTCTTTTACAATTATATTTCAATTCACACCAAAACATAACACTCCACTGTTGAAACAGTAAAACATTTGAAGCCCTCTAAGAAAATCTCTTTATAGAAAGTGTACGTTATGTGATCCTCTGAATACTTAACTGTTCATATCATCACAAAATGTCACAGCCATAATGTTGAAAGGTGATCTGTTTTATTGCCTGCTAAATGAGACGCTTAGAAGATGGAGAAGTGGGGATTTATTTTCATCAACAAATCCCCATTCAGCTGCCCCCCATCACTTTGAGTGTGACAGCATTCCCGTACATGGACACAAAAGTGCAAGTGGGGCTCTAATTATAGAAGAAACTATATCTGTCCATGTTCCCCTGATGGGACATAAGGATGTTCTACCTGAAGCAGCAGGGCTACTTATCACATTAACTCACTGAAGATCAGATTTGATTGGGACTGCTTGTCGTGAATTCACAAACTGTTCTTACCGCGTGGCTGGACGTCAGAACCTCGGCCCCCTCGAGCTGGGGCCCCTGGTAGATTCTGAGCTGGGGGTGTTCAGCGTACTCTGAGCCGGGGTGTGCAGAGGTGAATTCAAGAGGCAGTCTGCCCGCAGATGTGGGTGGACACTGCCCTGGGGGGGGGTATGAGGGAGGAGGGGCGTAGACCTGGGACAGGTTGGGGTCCCCGCTGCCAGGGCCGGCCTCCTGACCGGGGCCTCCCTGCAGGAAGAGAGAGAGAGAGGGATCAGCACCACAAGATATTAAATGTCAGAGGTGTAAACAAACAGACCGTCATGCGTCTGTTCTCCGGCTCTCACAGGAATGATCTGTTGTCAGTTTGAATACGACGACACAAACATCAGATAAACACAAAGCCCTCAAAGTATGGAAATCACAAAACAAACATCTAACCTATTAACGTCTGAGAGCTTGTTTGAACCTTTAAATACAAAAAAATAAAAAGCAGATAAAACTGACAGTGTTGTAGATTAATTAATATGCATGCCAAGTACACTTTGAGAGACTTGAACATTTTAGCTGTTTTTTACTTTTGAATCAACTGCATTTTCTTTCCTAACCCCACCTTTAAGTTACACAGCAGTGTTCCTTCTCTATCACCTACATTACAGTGATATTAATGCATAGTTACAAAAGACTAAGTAAATGTGAATGACCCTGAAATTGGCAATTCTGCATAGTAGGAACCATTACCACAAGCACATTTTGATTTGAATTGTTATGTAATTTTACTCAATACATTTAGATTGCAGGACTTTTACTTCTAACTGTCAAATATTATTGATTTTAATAAATAAGCACAAAAGTCCAAATGTTCCTTGTTCTAGTTTCTCAATAAATTATAAAGGTATATTTAGTGTTAAGGTTTGAAAGAGTGAAACCATGAGTCAGAGTCACATCAAAAGAGCACTACGATGATTTAAATCAAATCACAAAGTAATTACTATAAACTCCATTGAGTCAGAAATAGAAAGAGTTCAGCTGAGAAATGTAAATTAAAACAGATTAGAGAAACAAAAGTTCATCCTCCTACAGCAATGATCCAAGTGAATAATTCAGGTAAGGAGCTAAAAGCATTGTCTTACCCTGTCAGTGCATTCCTTGCTCTCTGGTGCATTGTCCAACAACTGCTGCATGTTTTAATGTCAGCTAACAACCCGCCTACCGCACCAAAAGCTCTGTTCATCCACCAATCACATCAAATGATCGCCAGAACAAAAAGGCACCAGGAGCCCACACCAGCTGTGGTCATCTGTACCTGTCAATCACCTCATCCCCCACCCACCATCACACACACACACACACACACACACACACACACACACACACACACACACACACACACACACACACACACACACACCACATGGGATATACCTGGATGTAAATGCTCCTACAGTTCCAAGACAGTATATCATTGTAAAGGTCGACTCTAAGAATATCGTGTTTAGGAAGCTAACATGGTATTATTACGGTTCCAACATCACTTTTAAATAATATATAGGCTACCGCAATACCGCTTAAAAAATAGCTCTTATATTATTTTTCCAAAAATATTTCTGACTACAAGCTAAAATATTAAAGATTTTAAGAGAATCATAATAAAAGATATGTAGGACAAAAAGTACATGTAATCCAGTGCTGTATTCATACACTTTTACATGCAAGATTCAGACAAAAAATCCACACACTTTATTAGATTCAGAAAAGGTAAAAGGTGAAAAACGTTTTCAAGTTTTGGAGAAGAATACAATCCTTAAAAATCGAATCCTGGAAATACAAAAAATCATTCAAGTCTTAAATCTCTTAAATTAAGTCCTTAAGTAAGTCCTTAAGTCCTTACTGTACATATGAAGCTAGAGGTAATAGCTGGTTAGCTTAGCTTAGCATAAGGACTGAAAACGAATATATACTGACATAACTTTTATCTTTGTGTTTCCTTACATGCAAAGGTTTGTCAGCCAGCTTTAGGACTTTAGGTTTTACTTTAATGAATAACTCCTTTCAATGACATTTAATAAACTCTTAAATATCTCTACCAGCTGTTGCACTCAAAATAAGAAGATACAGGGACAATGAAAAAGGAATTTGATAAAGCAGGGTTGAATTTGGACACGCGTAACTCAAGCAAAGTTTTCAAACTACATAAACTAAATGCTATTGTCCTAAACATCAGACCCCTATGATGTTTTCTGTTGTAAATACCAACTTTTGCCATCCAACAGAATAAATAAGTAGGCCATGAGTTGTTCAGAGTCTCTCTCGGTGGAAACCACAGCCAACAGCTATCAGACTCTGTCAGGCACAGCTGTGCTTTGAGCTAAGAGTTAACATCAGCATTCTAACAAAATCACAATTCCATTTAAAATGCAGCTGTTAATCAGGCATGATGTTTACTTTGTTTACCATCTTGGATTAGCCAGATAGCCGGCTAACATTTGCTAATAAGAAATAAGTTCATGTTGTGATGCTAATGTCAAAGTTAGGGGACTACATATGGCATTATCCTTGGGTAAAATACATGTCTGTATTCAATTTCACAGAAATCCAACCCATGAGATATTTAAGTTCTTGTTGCCAATCTGTCTACTCATGGAGAATTCAGTAAAATAAGGGATTCTTTGGTGTTAGGTACACATTCCTGCTGCAACATGTTTCCAAACACGTCAACACTAACATTTGTCTGTTTTGTGTCCCATTTATCTGATTAGACAACCAAACTCTGACTGCCAGGTTTCTCTACTCACAGATACTAAAGTGACAGATGAGAGGACAATCTGTTAGATATCACTGCAAGTTTATTTAATTTCCCCCCATAGAAAGTAACCACCACTGTGCCAGATTCAATATCACAGTGTCAGCAGGCGTGCATACAGACACAGTGTTCCCCCGCTCCTCCTTACAGGCTTTTTCTGTTTAACATGTGTTCTCCTTTCTTCTCGTCTCCCTCCTCAGCTGTCACTTGGGGGTCAGAGGTCAACAGCTATGAGCCAGGTGCATGCTGGGACAGCTGCCACAGGATTTACACACAGACGACACTAAACTGCAGATGTGGCCTTTTAGTGCCGGCCAAGTTACAAATGTTTGTGAACAGGATGTTTATTCAATTAAACTAAGGGTTCCTTTTTCAACACAATCGTTCTCTACGTCCTGCTTTCTGCTATTTAGGTTTCCATAATATTCAAAGCATTTGTGCAATAATCAGGAAATGTATATAGAATAAGGAAATGCTTAAATGATTATAGTATTTGGATAAACCCGTCGTGCAGCCCAAATAATTGTTTTGCTAGTATTCTTCCAATAAAAGTGATAAAGGAGTAGCTACACATATTGTATAACAGACAGTCAGCGTTTAGACTGCTTTGGAAAAGTTAGTATTCCATTCCTCAGGTTTCGAATCTCTTTTTTTTCCCTTACAAGCACCCATCTAAATGTTCCTTTTTTTAAACTAGATGTGATTTATTCTTCTAATAAAGCTAAATACTCCAAATGTAAAAGGCACAACAGGCAGGTTTCACACCGTTTTAAATAGAGTCGAGTGAAGAAAACAAGACAGGTGACAGAATCTCCTCCTGTGATTATCTGCTCAGAAGAGGAGGCTAAAAATACAGCTGGTGTGAAGCACAGAGACAAGGTAGAGAGATACCAGATGCATTGTGGCATTAATGGCATGTCAGGGACGCTTAGACACACACACACACACACACACACACACACACACACACACACACACACACACACACACACACACACACACACACACACACACACACACACACACACACACACACACACACACACACACACACACACACTGCTGGCATCACTTCACTGAGACCCGTGGACTAAAGATAACCCCAAATGTGTCCTAACTATTTAACGTATGGGATCTTTCGTAATCAGTGTGCTTCTCCAGCTCCCTTCAGGCCTCGTTGATTTGTCATTCCTCTAATCTTTTCTGTGCACAACACGATTAGTCCCTATTGAGCAACACAACACTAACACCAAATTAGATGTAAGATTGGACTTATTTATCAAGGAAATAAGGGCCCTTTGGTTTCTTCTGCAGTATTACATTTTTAACTCTTCACTGGGGATGCTATCTTGATGGTTTGTTGGCAGCACCGACATTCATTTCTAACTTATAACAAAGAAAACAAAGCTCTGAAGTTGTTTTCACAGCTATATATATTTACAAATATTTTTAAATATTTGTACTATCTTCCCTTCATAACTGTTTAACAGGTTTGTATACACTGTCAGGATTTTCCAATGACAATAAAGTGATTATTGAGTGGCAAAAAAACAATTGATACAGCTTTTTAAATGTGAACATTTGTTAGTGTATTTAATTCCTTTGTCCTTTTATAATGCTAACAACATTTTGGTAACATTTTCTGACATTTGACCAACTATATGATAAATCGAGAAAATGATCTGCAAATTAAACAGTCGTGAAAGTAATCGCAATTGTTGCAGCCCTTAACTCATTCAAAATGGATTTCAATCATATTATCACTTCTAATCTTTTATGTTCCACTTCTGAACCCTGAGTCACCGTAATAAGACTTAACAGAAAGGACATTGAATGAAGACAAACATGACCGAAAATAGGAGGTTTTACGATTTAATTAACAAATGAAGGAGGGTTTACCTGAACTAGGCTGGGGTAGCATGTGGCTGCCTGTGGGTAGACAGGAAGTCCATAGGGCTGGAGAATCACAGTGGGCGAGGAGAGCATGGCACAAAAACCACGCACAAGGAGACAGGGAACAGTGGAAGATAGGAAAAAAGGAGCAGGAGAGTTGGGGAAAATACAAAGTTGGATACGCTCACAGGAGAGCAGGGAATCAGACTGGAGAAGAAAATAGAGGAAACAATCCCAACAGGAAAAACAGAAGATCCAAAAGGGCGAGGGGAAAGAAGATTAAGACTCTATTTAACCTCACAGATTATTCGAAGAAGAAAAAGGCAAAGAAAGTCCACAAAATGACCGGTGTCCTGTCCAGAAAAGACAGGATATAGGGCTGTGAAAGAGAAAGCAAGTGAGCCTCTGTGTGTCCATCAGTTGATCGTGCAGCCTGACAGACAGAAACACATGCTCAGGGTCCCATTTCAGAGTTTTATAAATAGTCGACCATGTCCTTCTCTCTGAGTTTACCACCTTACCACCCTCACTCTTACACATGTTGTCATGCAAGATCTCCCACCACTTGTTACACATTTTACAATACAAGCAAATTCACCAGAGGTATAGTGAGAGAGAGATCCCCGAAGACAAAGCAAGTCAATTGACTCCTAGTGGACCCTAAAGTTAGGTTCAGTTTCCGTTCAGTTTGACTTTGCAAGTGTTTTGTAGGTTAATACAAGGTCATAACGTACAATTAAATGTATTGAGTGAACAGGTAAGCTCCAAAATGAAAAAAGCACTTGATGCAATAATATTAATTAAAGATGACATGTATATATAATGGAAATATGGTGTAAGATAAGATGGGATGACGTAAATAAAATATAAAATAGGACTGTGTGTAATTTAACAAACATTTTTATCCAAAAATAATTTCACAAATGTTATTAGAAAAAGGGATGAAATAGATAGATAATAAAAAATACTGCTGAAAAAGATAAGTAGCAACAAGTAGCAGTCCAGGTTCATTAAAAGCAGTCATGATGATAATGTTTTCAGAATTGAGAAGCCTGGTGGCTGGACGATAACAACTATCTGTAAGTTGTATATGATCCACCAGCTAAAAGTACGTTATAATAATCAGGTGTGTGACTATGATTCATATTTATGATAAAATATCTGCCGCTAAGAAACATATTATTTACCTTTAGTTTTCAGATGTGTTTTCCTTGTTTGACCAACAGAGTGCAACAAGACCAATTTTCCTTCTTCCGTTCGGGCGCAGAGGTGCATCCTGGGATATGCAGTTTGTGCGTAGGCCCTATAAATAAACTGGAACTTCCTCTAACGTTCTCTTTACTTCGCTGGCCTGAGCGAGACAGGTATGATATGCGGCCTCTTGCTACCACACTTCGCAAACACACAGCATTAGACATCTTAAATACACAACTGGTATTACATAGTTGTAGGAAATCTAGTTGTATAAGGAAACGTTTTTTTAGATAACCAACTTATGGTTTTGTAACTGTTTCATTGAAAAGCTTATTCGGCTTAAGCTAAGCTAACGCTAGCTTGTCACATTTAACAACGTGGTGCGGTGCATCTGCGGCCTTGTCGTATGTCTTACAATGGCTTGCTTTTAGCGTATTTTTATGGTGTCTTACACACTTATTTTTATGAAGTATTCCTGGCAAGGCATTAGTAGTGTTGACTTAATACATTCTACAAACAATACCTGTATATCTAGGAACTTTTGCGACACATTACAGCGTAATGCTAATGTGAAACTGTTGGAGTATGGAGTTTAACATCCATATCTCCCACAATAAAATATATTGCACATTTCTGAGTTGTCTTTCAACTGCAGATTGTATTTAATAAGCTGAAAAGACAGAATTGCAGGATTTTGAAGGCCGCCACAGTCCTAGGTTTATTAATCATAACGTATTGCTGAACTATGTAGTATTTTTAAAATAACAACGTAGATGCCATTTTATTTTTACACTGGTGAAATTACGTTGATTTATTGGGATTATCTAAAGCTGATTTGTGCGTGTGTGTATATATTTTATTAGATGTATAAATGTGGAGATAATAATGGATATTTACTCACGTTAAATACAGATTTTCTTACACATGCTGACTGTCTTTTATTGCAGGCACGTATAAGCCGCCATGCCCGTTGCCAGGAGTTGGGTTTGTCGCAAGACTTATGTCACCCCCCGCCGCCCCTTCGAGAAGTCCCGTCTCGACCAGGAGTTGAAACTCATTGGTATGCTGTGATTTCATAATCTCGAGTATAGTTATGAATTAAACCCCATGTTGCCCTCTTAAGAACTACATAATACTGAACTTAACGGTTGACTGTCCCATCTTTTTTTCAAGGCGAGTATGGTCTGAGGAACAAGCGTGAGGTGTGGAGGGTCAAGTTCACCCTGGCCAAGATCCGCAAAGCTGCCAGAGAGCTCCTCACTCTTGACGAGAAGGACCCCAAGCGTCTGTTTGAAGGTATGCAAAATTCCATTTCATGTTTCAATGTAGTGGCCGATGATTAATTAATCAAATCTCAGACTTTCTGTGGTGTCAAGAATTCCTCGTGAATGAGGCCAATTGTAACTTCACTTAAGTGGCTATTTTTGTCCTTGTTCTGGATTTTAAAATGGCTCCTGTTACCAGGTAATGCTTTACTCAGACGTCTGGTGAGGATAGGCGTACTCGATGAGGGTAAGATGAAGCTCGATTACATCCTGGGCCTGAAGGTTGAAGATTTCATGGAGAGGAGGCTGCAGACACAGGTCTTCAAGCTTGGACTCGCCAAGAGCATCCACCATGCCCGTGTCCTTATCCGCCAGAGGCATATTCGGTAAGCTACAAGGCTCCTGGGGGAAAATGTCAGATAATGGTACTCAAGTCTTGAGACTCAACTCAATGCTTCCTCTTTCTTCAGAGGACCATCAACTTTTAACGCTCTCGGCTGAGATCAGTTAAACTTTTCACAAAGGTCACTTCGGTATCAAAACCGTATACCTTGTCAATAGATATTGCCCAGAGCCAATCCTGCCTCTGAAGGCTTAGGCTGTGCCACTGTGGTGTTGTGGCTGTCTGGTAAGTTACAGGGGATTGCACCTCGGGCAACTGTCAAATTTACTGTACACCTACGAATTACTCAGGCTGATGATTTAAATCACATTCTCAGATTTTCTGTGGTGTCAAGAATTCCTCGTAAATGAAGCCTGCAGTAAATAAATGGCAATAGCCAATCTAGACATTTCAGATGACTTCATCTGGACTTTGTCATACATTTGGATTCCTGTCTTTGTTTAAACTAAAGTGGAATCTATCAAACTGACTATTGTAATGTGTTTTTCTAGAGTCTAACTCTTTGTCCATCTCTGCAGTGTGCGAAAGCAGGTGGTGAACATCCCCTCCTTTGTGGTTCGCCTGGACAGCCAGAAGCACATCGACTTCTCACTGAGGTCTCCATACGGTGGTGGACGCCCAGGCCGCGTCAAGCGAAAGAACGCCAAGAAGGGCCAGGGTGGCACTGGAGGCGCTGACGACGAGGAGGAAGATTAAAAAGGATGTAGTCCAGGAAGTGTGTTCTGATACTGCCTGTTCTGTCAACATTTTGAATAAAACTGTTTGGTCTGACCGGAGAACTGAGTTGTTGCACTTTTCTTTCTAGAATATTGGCCTTATATTTTTTTTCAAGTCTATACTATTGAGTTTTATTCTAAGCGAAATATGCATGGATAACATAATTTCCCAAACTGGGATCAATAAAACTATCATAAACTAAGAGCACGGATAAAGAAATGAAGTAGAATGGAGTTTTTTTTTTGTATCAGTTGCCATAGATTGCAATAGCTACAGATATGAGGTGATTTTGTCGTCTCAATTCGGACCGGATTATCCATACACTCCTTCAGGCTAAAATGGTACAGTCATAAATTGTGTAAGGTAAACCTTTTTATATATATATATATATATACAGTCTATTGGTAAACCTTCATGATTAGTCGACGAGCGATGACGACACCGCGTAGGACGGTACCATTCTAACTAGGGGTGCAAAATTCAGTCAGTACACGGAAGTAAATGCATTTCGTGTCAGCGGTGTGAATGGGTAGTTGTAGGTGTGACAGGCTCTGCCAGGGACTGGAGTAATTTAAACGTTGCTGATTTAACACTATCAATGTAAGTAAAACCTTCCAACTGACTCTTTCTAGTGCAACGGTCGGCCACTTTTATATACTAACGTTACGCTGAGGGTTTAGTTTGGTCTCGCAATGCTAACGCTAACGACACATACAGTAAACACAGACAGGAATGCAGCTTGTTGGTGTTTCATCCTCCACATTTAACACTCATTCCGTGCTGTATACATTTGTATTCTCACGATGTGGCTTGCTTTGTTCTCTATCGTTGATGCTGTTCCACGTTCACTTTCCTGGAACTAACGTTAGCCTTTAGGCAAGGCACTGTTGGGAAGACACACGTCGGCTCTGAGCTATTTAATTGTAATGTAAATTAAACTATGATTATTTAGGTTGAGTAACTAATCTACAATTCGTGACACTGATCAAAGAATCACCTGTTTGCCCCATTTTTCTCCTGGGCTTAAGTACCTGAGACTTGGCGACTGTGGACTCAGTCACAAACATATTCCTCCCATTGACCCCATGGATATGTTTCCATGTGTTATATGAACATAGGTTACGTAATGTTGGCACATGGCTGTCCCTTGCATTCAATCTCTTTATTAACGCTTCTATTCGACTTTGTATTTCGAGTAGTGCTACATAATGCTGCAACACAATGTTACAAGTGCTTTTGCACATCTTACCGGAAATGACTGTAATTTGGCAAGATATCTGCTTCCTATATTGTGAAACAAACCCTTATTTTAACATTAGTATTTGCTTTCATTTAGTTATTTGGATACCTAGTATTAGCAACGTTATCTTCCTGTGTGGACCATATAAGTAAACATTATAGTGAAAAACAAACACGAAATTCCCAAGATAAATGGTTGAGCAAAAATAATGTATTTTAGGATAATTAGGATTAAATGAGTCAATTGCAAAAAATATTACCTCCACAATGTAATTGTATGCAATCTAACACTTCCAAATCCGTAAAACACACTAAAGGACTTGATCAATGGTTATTGGATACAGTCATCAAAAAATAACAAATGACCAGCTGTTCCAATGCAATTTGCTCTCAGTATATTGGAATGGTTTGGATGCATTTATTATTACGTTTAGAGCTGATCAGTGTTTTTGTCCCAGAAGAGAGATGTCTCCCGATGAGTTGGTTTACTTAGGAATCCTCGCTGCCTCCATCCCTGTTGGGTTCCTCTTCCGTTACCTCAGTGAGTATTGTTGGTCAATAGTTTTATTATAGCTCATGGTCCTTATTACTGAGTATTTTTCATTCCTAATTAATCTTAAATTGTGTTTTTATAAAGGGCTACATTTTGCATTGTGGGACAGGAAGTTATGATTTTCTATTACTCACATACATGGGGTGGACAAAATACAAAAACACTATAATTTTAACATTTTACCAATGAGAAGGGCTGCTCCTCTTCAGCTATAATCCTGCCTACGGTCATATAAGTTTTGAAATGTGAATGATGCTGAGAAATTACTTTTTTACCTAGTTCTGGTGTTTGTGTACTGTATTATTTTATAATTGTTGTTATTTGATAACTTTTGTTTTCCTTCAGGTCCTCCTGTGAAGCAGGGGGCAGCTCTTCTTCTGGGCCTCTCTGTCGCCATCGTCACCTGTCAGATCCACACGCTCCACTCTCTGGTGACGGTGATTGGAACATGGTTTATTATAAAGATCAGCTGGCGGTGAGACATGGGCATTCATGCTTTCCAAACATATTTCACTGACACACACACTATTTTTAAATGGCTTATCTTGCTTTACTTACATCCAAAAATCTAAAGATATTCAATTTCTCATTACGTATGACCAAAATAAAGTGGTTAATCCTCACAAAATGTTGAGCTTTTGGATTGAAACCGAACTTAAACATTTTCATTTTTTAACAGACATATTAAAAAGCCCTCATACATTTTTGTTTGCCTACAAAAGTGACAAAGAGACAATATATTTGCTTTTAGATTATGAGGTTAAATATTGATGGGCTTTAGGATAACGACGACCATTGCCAAACCAAAACATGAAGAGAACAGTACTTTTATTATAACAAGTAGTTTGCTTGCGATTGCAGTATATGAGATGCCAGATGGTTGAACAAACCAGAGTAACTGTGTAAAGGAAAACATTTATTTTCTCTTGTTTCTAGTTGCTAGGCTCTGAGGAAAACAGACAGTGATCTGATTGTTAATGCCAACTATTATAGAGCTTAGAAACGCCGGTGGGGGAGAAAGTTGTCCAAGCACTTTTACCTACATGATCTCAGATAGAGTAGAGATAGACAGCTTACAGTATATAAATATAAAATGTATTTGTGTAAAAATATCATATCTGACAAATAAATGCATTTGCGAACAACTAAATACATACATTTAATACCAGTCTAATTGATAAAGGACACATTTCAGCTGTAGTGTACAGTAAGCTGATGCACACATGGCACACAACAGGACAATTGCCATATAATGCTACTGTGCAGACGTAAAACGTAAACTCTAACAATACATCTATTTCTGTCCACCAGGCATGCCCCAGCATTGAGTCTCGGCTGGAGCTTCCTCTACCTCCTATTCTTCCGGCTGGTCACTTGGTTCGGTCTGCCAGCACCGACACCTTTCGCCAACGCCATCCAGCTGCTTCTCACTCTGAAGGTAAAAAAGCCCTGTGCAAGAGGTTATGTGTTACAGTGTGGGCATCTTTGTTGACTCTTATGTATCTTTTACTCAGATGGTGAGTTTAGCAAACGAGGTGAACTGCTTCCACATGGAGAAGAAGAAGGACGTGAGCTCCTTTGCCAAGTCTCCTGTCATCGGTGGTCTGTCTCAGGTGCCCTCCCTCTACGATATGCTGTCCTATAGCTACTGCTATGCCGGTATAATGACGGGTAAGTCTGTGGAAACTTGTTACACTCAGAATCTTCTGTTGGAAAGAGGACGTTTGTAAACATTATGTTTGTGTGTGAGCTATATTCATGTTGTTCTTATTGCTTTTGCATGAATTTTAACAGTTGTCTTTTTTTGTCTCACCCCCTGCTTCTTGTCCAATATTGTGTGAGTCCATAACGTTATCAGTCTTATTTACAATTTCTTCTGTTTTTTTTGTTTTCTTACCATCTCCTTTCCAACACCACCCTCACTTCTTTCAAAACACACTTTCCTCCACTGTTCCCTTTTGGTTCTTGCATTATCTATATCATCCATTTTTGTCTATCACTGTCTTCACAACACCGCCTTTATTCCTTAATCTCATCCCTCCATCTCCCTAAAGGCCCGTTTTTCCGCTTCCAAACGTACGTTGACTGGCTGCAGCAACCGAGCCCGCAGACCCTGCCCGGCTGGGGGCCGTGCCTGCAGCGCCTGAAGCTCGTTCCTCTCTACGGCGCTCTGTTCATCGCCGTCGACTCCGTCTTCCCACTCGCCTACGTTCGCTCAGACGAGTTCCTGGATGACAACTTTTTCTTTAGGTATTATTACAATGCAAAACTGCCCTGATAATGTCTTTTAATAAAAGAAACAATGTTAGTTTTATGAGTTTTAGGCTTATTATTTAAGCATCGATGTATACTTTCATGGATCTGCAAAAAACACAGTAATTTAAATGCTATTAAAAGTGTGCTTTATAATATTATGTTTTATGTAATGTTAAAAGCAAATTTCATTCACTTTCTCAGACTGGAATAACCCAACAAATGCTCAATACTTATATAAGCTAAACATCTATATACTTAAATGTTGTAGGTAATATTTCCTAAATTGTCCTGATTGCACAGTGTCTCTACTTGTGTTGCTGCTGTTGGTCAGAGAACTGCAAATACAATGAGACAAATCAATGAAAGTAAAGCATAGCTTACTATTCATGGTGAGCTAAATAAATATATTGTTTGCTTTAAAGATAATAATGGAGGTCCTGGTAGTGCTTTAGTGTTGAATGTCTTTGTTATATCGCGGCTGCTTTTTGGTACTGAGATGAACAATGTTCTCTTCTCTCTCTAACACCAGGTATTTCTACATGATAGCAGTGTTCTTCGTGTTCAGGATGCGTTTCTATGCAGCGTGGTGCGGAGCTGAGGCTGGTTTTATCACTGCAGGTCTGGGCTGCTATCCAGAAAAAGCGCTGTCCAAACCTGGAGGAGGACCCACTGTCAACTACAGGTACTTCAGCACTGGCCAACAAGTATATCAAAAGAGGATGCATCAATATGTGTGTATGTAGTAAATTGTAATTGCATTGCTGTTAAAAATCTTGGTCTGTAAAGAGTTTATTGTTTTTCCCTCTTTGCCAGTCCTGACCCCAGCGCTGACGAGACGTATGACTTCAAAACCATCCAGAACATCGACTGCTACAACACGGACTTCTGTGTGAAGGTCCGCCACGGCATGCGTTACTGGAACATGACGGTGCAGTGGTGGCTGCATCACTACATCTACCCCAACGCCCCCTTCAGGGCCTACGCCCTCAGGTAAGGCCTTACGCGTGCAGCAGGTTCTGCTTATATCACAGGCATGAACGCCCAAACCCATTTTGTTTTGGCATTAAAATGCGTTTATTTGAATTGTGCAAGGATATACCTTCTTAAATGAGAGGTAGTGGCAAGCGTCATCATATTTTAAAACATATTTTCTAGTTATTCCCTCATTTCTAACCAGCTTTAATCTTTCATTTATAATCTTTATGCAGCGATGTCTGTGAAGCTCTGCTATTTTAGACAAACATATTTTATTTCATTTGACTTCTTAAGTCAAGTTAAGTAGGGCTGGGAGATATGGTCAAAATATTCTGTCCTGATAAGGGTCATTTCATATCTTAATACTGAGATATATTAAAATATAGCATGTTTTCTGATAAATCAATATTTTATATAAAATAATCACGTGGTAAAGCTTATTTTTTTGTATACTTCTATAATATTTAAATACTTGACAAATGAAAAGTATTGAAAAGTGTCTTATTTCATTGAAAAAATTTCCAGGCGTATCATTTAAATCTCATTTTATTATATTATTTTAAGTTCTTTTAAGTTTATTACCTGGAAGACAGATGACATGAAGTGACTATGTATTGTCTCACCACACACTGAAACTGCCCTCATTACCACAAACAAACCTAAATGTGCCCCGGCATCTTTTTGTTTATCTGAAATCCCTCACAGTCTTTTTGACTCTAACCTCTCTCGTGTTTGTCTGTACCTCTCAGGGCCGGCTGGACCATGTTCATCAGCGCATACTGGCATGGACTTCATGTGGGCTACTATCTCTCCTTCCTCACCATCCCTCTCTGCATCGCAGCCGAGTCGGCCATGGAGTCGTCGGTCCGAGCTAGACTGGGTCCGTCTGGTCAGAACATCTTCGACTGGGTTCACTGGTTCTTGAAGATGAGGTCGTACGACTACATGTGCATGGGCTTCGTGCTGCTCAAGGCCTCTGACACCATCCACTACTGGACATCCATCTACTTCAGCATGCACATCATCGCCATCGCCTGTATCATCCTCGGCAGGGTACTGAAGGGAGGGAAAAAGGAAGGAAGGAGAGTTGAAAAAGAGGACAAAAAAGAGGGAGAGAAGACTGAAAATGTAACAACGGGAGGGAAAACAGACTAAATGGAGGTACAGAAAAAACAGGTTGGATATTTTTTGAGACATGACAAAGGGTCACTGTAGGATTTACCAACATCCAAAATGTATCAACACTCATCTTACAAGCAACAAACCTCAAACAAAAATGTCATAGAAAATCTAGTAGATTAGACGAGAGTGTGACAAGTTAGAACTGGTCGAATACTTATTATGTAAATATAAGTACTGTGAATACTGGGAGAGGAATGTTTGAGCTCAATTAATGTTACTTTTGTAGTGTGAGTGGTAACCGGGGTGTGGAAAGTTTATTCACTACTCATCCTAGCGCCTGTCTGTACAGTAAATGTGCTTTTGTTTCACAATACCATTCAGAGTTTAAGTGAACTGTAATGCTGGTCAAAATAGGGGTTGTTGAAATGGCAATATGCTGTTTTAAAAACATTCAGTAGGGCGAAGCAAACAATAACCAAACAAGCCTCGTAAGGTCGTATAAATATTTAAAAGAGGAGAGATTAAATGTAATTAAACGTAGTTTCCATAACCAACATAACATTCCAGCAGCACTCAGTTACACAACGTTTGTATTGGAGTACAGCATGGAAAGATTTTGATGGGGAAAAAAATGACATTTTATGTCTTGTATAAGCTTTCTGATTTATTTATTTTGAGGAACAAAATAATGACTTCCTAAATCATCAAAATTACAGTTTTTTATCTCAAAAGAATGATGTTGTTGTGATACAATGTTAAACTTACTGTGCATCCCCTGCAGACTACATTTGTATTGCTGCCTGGTTACTTAAAACTTCTATACGTCTTTAAGATTTTTGTTTCCAGGATTATAATGTTCATGATTTTATTGCCTGATCCTTGAGAATTTAAAAATGTATTTTTCCTCAGTGTTTTTCTGCCTGTAACTGTGAGCATATCAGGAGCATCTGCACGGACATCTCTAAAGTGTCTGCTAATGAGTTTTTGTAAGATAGCAACAGTCCATTCACTGCCAAAATGTCTGTACTGCCATCGTGGACCATTCAGGGTTGGGACCAAACATTTAATACAACACGTTTTCACATAATAACTATTAGCTGCCAACGTAGGTCATGAATAACAGCACAGCTAGGGCTGGGCGATACAGTTGAAATCATCTTCACAGCGATGACTGGAGAGGCATTCGCAGAGCTTAGGCCTCGGTCCAGACCATTTGCAGAACGGGGAAAAAAAACTGTGTCCACTTTGTGATACAGATCTGCTCCAACATTTAATGGGTTCTTTCTTGGCACATGCTACCACTAGTTTTCCCCTAATCTTACTGTCAAATCACCAAACCGAACCGAAAACAATGTCTCTATTGATATACGGCACCATATGAAAACTGTATGCAAACTATATGTAAAATAGCCCAAAAGCAGAATTGTTCAGAAAGATCAGAATCTATGGTTATATTTTCACAATTCACTGCTGATAAATGAAGATATTGTATTATCGCCCGGCCCTAACCTCGATAAACAGTTGGAAAAGATGTTGAGTTGTTTCACTCACTCCTGTCTCAAACTGTGTGACCACTACTGTGTCTTTGTTTTATATGTGCATGTTTGAGAGCAGAGTAGAAAAACATCTTATCTCTTAATGTAATCTGTTCTCCACATGTTACCTGTAACTGATTTGATTTACAGATGTATTTTGAGTCTTGCCTTTACCCTTTATGTGCCAAAACCTTTTTTTTTTTCTTGCACACAGATGATTGTGATTTGTAGTCCTTCTATTGCTCGCTCACCTCCAGAATATTTATTTAAGCCTTTTGTCTCTTTTCTTTAGCCTCACAAACTGCACCTGCTGCACTCCCTGCTCTGTAACGCTGTAACTTGTGAAATACAGCATTTCCTCCACAATGCTAATGTCTTGCCTTTTCTTTCTTGAAAGTCTATGTTATGTGATTATCTGTGAAGTATTTGGCAGTTCATAAGTACCTTGTGTTGTCAGTGAGATCGATCGAGTAGAAAAGGCTTTTATACATCACTTTTTTCTCAGCTGTCAGAATGGAAATCATTAACTCTCCGGCATGACGGAAAACACCAACAACGCCTCTTAGTTACATCACAACAGTGTCCCAGTGCTTTCTTTGAGCTATGAGGAATTAGCTCAAATATAATTGGTAGTAACATATACATAAATACAGTTATTATTATCATGTACACTTATTTAGGATATACTTAATGTGTTCCCATGACTGCACACAATTAAAATGCATCAAACTAATTCCTGAATTGCACAAAAAAACACTTTTCTAAAGTCTTTAATTACATAAATTAGTTGAAGTGTATCTTGTTTTCTTGATGTATTCTTATTGTCTTTTGGCCAGTTATTAGACCACGCACATTATAAATGAATGGTGACTGTTTCCTTGGTAATAATGGGTTAAGTCATACAAGGAAGTACCTGTGGTCATTTACAAAGGGAGCAAAGTCCGTGAGAGAAGACAACAGTGAAGGGTTTCCTGGTTAGGCAGCATTTCCTCATGAGGAGCTGCTTCACCATCTGTTTTATTTTGGATTTGTTGCTGGTTTAGAATGAGATGTTTCCAGAGGACAGTATTTAAAGCTTGTGTTAAACTGCATCAGAGAAATGTCCAGTGAACCACAGAGACCAGGCTCCAGAGAGGTGCTTGACTATACTGAAGGTGTGTTTTTTCTTTCCTCTGATCTCATTACTCTCCTACTTGTTTGTTCATTTTAAAACCTGACCATTTAAATCAATTTCTGAATCGACTGAATTTCTTACGGTCTCTGATGATGAGAAATCATCTTTGAATCTTGAATTGTGTTGACAAATGTTGCTTATATTATTGTTTGCTGTTTTTCTACCCTCACCACTCTTAGAGTATGGTTACCACAGTGACCAGCATTCACTAAGGTTAAGACGGGGTCCGTCTCGAGTGTCCAATCAGAATCCGCCTCAGTTCGACTGGAGCTCGCCCCACGAAGAGGAGGATGAGGAGAGCAGCAGTGGACCGCCTCGAGACCTCAGAGCCACTCCTCTGCCCATGGCTCTGAAACGAGCTATAAGGTAAAAAAACTAAGAAAAACTGCTTTAAATGTATTTAAATATTTCTTGTTGTGCAAACTATTCATTCATACTTATGTGAATATGAATTATTTGTGCCTGCTATGTCAGAAGTACAACTGTTCACAGTGAATCAAACAAACGAACACAATTACAAGTCATGACATCGTGTACATGCACACAGAGAGGAATCTTCAAACAGATATAAATAAATCAGTAGTAGCAGTACCTTATCACGTTGTTGTTGTTGTTCAGTCAATACATTTTAATTTATCTTTTTTGCCTGATGTTACAAAATCTTCTCATGTACAAGTCTTAATCTGAGATTTAAGGTGATCATAGAAACATGTTCATCCTCACTCTGTCTACCTTCGTAGTAAACACAAAAAAGGGTTTCTCCATTTAGAAATGTAATAAAGCCCCCCAAACAGTCGCTTTTCGGTTTACTGGTTTAAGAAAGAAAGACAATTTAATCGAAGTTGCACAGACGGACTACATATTTTAAGTGAAGAGGAAGCTTTAATATCTAAATATTACACATCTAAATATGAATGTGACAGAATAGATAGATAGATAGATAGATAGATGGATAGATCGATAGATAGATAGATAGATGGATGGATAGATAGATAGATAGATAGATAGATAGATAGATAGATAGATAGATAGATAGATGGATAGATAGATAGATAGATAGATGGATAGATAGATAGATAGATAGATAGATAAATAGATGGATAGATAGATAGATAGATAGATGGATGGATGGATATATATGTGCAGCAGATATAGTTCCACATAAACAAAAACGTAATCCATATTTGTCCATCAGAGAAAGTCTTACAGACCAATTAAATAAAAGACTATAATTTTTATCACACAACTCTTTCTCAATTTTACTGCAACTTTGCCTTTTGCAGGCAGGTGCAGCAAATGCAGGTACCTGTGGTTTCCAGCAGGGATTCGTGGAAACGGAAAAAGGCCAAATCTCTGCGTAAACTCAAAGATTGCGGCATGGGATTCCTCTCCTTTTTCTCTCTGTGGAACAAGACTTTGCAAAAGATCGGAGGTAAACAATTGACCTTTTATTTCAGGACTAAAGATAACTCAAACTGTAAACTTACTTCCTGCACAATATGATTAAATGTTGTTGTTATGTTACATACTTTATAATTGTGTTTATTCAATTAGTTACATTTGAGATCAGCAATACAGATTTTTACATATATATCATGACCCTTTGCCCCCACAGGGAACTTCGGAGGTGGTGTCCAGTCCTACTTCCTGTTCCTGCGGTTCTTGGTGGTGCTCAATTTTGTTTCCTTTTTACTGATTGCTGGATTTGTCCTCGTCCCCAGCATCGTCTTCAGATCCGTCGGGGCCGCACTTGTTAACAGCACAGGTAAAGACTCGTTCAGGCTGCAGATGGCTCAAAACATTTCATTTTGTATTTACTCCAGGGGGCAAGACATATTTCATAAGACATTTTCAGGGTCCTTAATTTCCCCTTATTTCCTGACAATGAGGCACACATTTATTATATATACGGGAAGCCTTCTCACAGTTTGATGCAACAGTTTCCAGGCAACAGAGTCTCAGAGGCGTCAGTGCGGTAAATGTAGAGAGAAAGTACCAGCAGCTGCATTCCCCTCAGGAAAAGAAATGATGTCAGCGGTGCAATCACAGAAGATCTCTTCTCAAAACAAAACCTAAATCTATATGTGATTGGTTCATTTGCAAATGTTTTACATTATGCACAGTCAAAGATTCACTCTCCAACATTAAAGTAGTTTTATTATGTTGGCCCTCAGTCATTGTTCCAAGGAAATGTGACACAATTACACATTTCCATTCCATTAAAACCCTTGGATTCTTTAAAGCTATCTGAGGAAAGTAGCTGTGTCTATATGGCAGTTTGATGGCAGAGCCACAGGAGAGCATGTCGCAGCTTTCCCTCTCCCTGTTTTCTCTCTATGTAAGTACTAAACGTTAGGAAAGCATAACCTACATGTTCAGAAAGGTTCGGGGGAAACCTGTAGAAATTCTATAATCTCTGAGAATGTATGCAGAAATAGTAAAGCTTTCCTTTTTCTGTGTTTTCCAGGTCACGGGGCATGCATGGTTTATGATCCTAATCCTGAAGGCCTGGTGGTGTTCTATAATTACTTCCTTGACTTACTTTCAGGAACGGTGAGAAACTGATGCATCACATTGACCTTCAAATATATGAGACACGCAGAAACTAATGTGAAACTGATACCAATTGATTAACTGACATGATATTAGTGGTTGTCATAATTTTTTACACCTTTAGCTTTTGAAATCTCCAACACAGAACTGTGGCCAGGATTTAAAGATACTGAGTTCCTACATTTAGAGCAGCAACAAATACAATGGACTAATAGATCATCAAACAATCAACACAACTTAATTTGAGTGACAGTGACCGTCCTGTGATCTGTGTTCAGGGTTTCATGGAGTATTCATACCTGTTTTATGGCTACTACAACAACACAATGGTGGAGGACAAGAACTTCTCCTACAACATCCCGCTGGCCTACCTCTTCACCGCTGTCTTCTACTTTGTCTTCTGCCTCATTTGTATCATAGCGAGGTCAGTCCCAGAACAAACACATTCAATAAATCAAGAAGCAGCCTGTATATGTGTGTATGCATGGTTGGATTATGAGACAAATGCAAAAGCCTCAGCCACCTCTGAGGAGCAAAACACACTTTATAGTTGTTAGGCACCCTTTAATTGTTGTTTTGCCTCTTTGGGTAGTCATTTTGAGTCTCTCTATAGTTGCTTGTCTCTTTATAGTGAATTTGTGGTCATGTCGAAGTTGTTTAGTGTCTCTATGTAGTTTATTTGTGGTCAGTTTGAGTGTCTTTGTTGTTATTTTGTGTCTTTGTAGTCATTTTCTATCTCTTTTTAGTTGTTTTGAGTCTTTTCCAGGTTAGTAGATGTATTTTTGAGTTACATTTTAAATGTCATTTAAGGGGTTCAGTTCAATATGCATGACCAGAGTGACCTTGAAAAACCTGAGTTGAGAGTTCAATCCCCTCGACCCTCTGCATCTGTTTCTTGCTGCTTATGCACTTTCATGCAGGATGGGGACTGCTGCTCGAGTTGTCGTGGCAACGGGAAGCAGCACCGTGGGCGACTACAGCATGATCGTGTTCACCAGCTGGGACTACGGTTGCCTGGGAGACCGAGCTACCAAACTGAAGCAGAAGAACATCCACTACCAGCTGCAGGTCAGAGGGGAGCTGTCCCACTTAGCGGGATGGAGGAATGTGATGTTCTCTCTGCATAATCATTCCCCGAGTGCTTTCACACGGCCCCTCATCTCTCTCCTCTTTTCTCAGGTGGATCTGGAGGAGGAGAGCATAAAGAAAAGGGCAGCCGCTCTGACTTTGTCTCAGAAAATTGTCTTATACTCTCTACGTGTTTCTATGTGTTTGGTTTCATTTGGGCTCATTATAGCAGCCTTCTATGGCATCTTTGCGGCCACCGAGTTCAGCCAGGTAAATGAAGTCAAACACAAGAATAATTCTGTTCATTGTCTTCAGTCTGAAAGTCTTTGGTGACCTTTTTGGTCTCCATCTCATTGCCAAACAGGTAAAGAGTGGGCAGGGAGGGATCCTGGGTTTGTTCTTTGAGTATCTGCCTTCCATCGTCATCACCGCCGGAAACTTTGTGGTGCCGCTGCTGTGTGACCAGATCGCCCTGATAGAGCGATACTCCCCCAGCACTACCGTCATAGTGGCACTGTTACGGTTTGCACTGGTTTTTCTGTTTGAGAGAGAACTTGTCAGAGCATTTGAATATTATTATACTCATAATTAAATCCATTCGATAAACAAAGGGAAGTGGCCGGAAATTAAGGCCAAAATGTGTCAAAAAGTAGTTGTATAGTCATCGTATATTAAACATTTCTCCCCCAAATCAGAATTTAATAGTCAATGATGCCATGATCCCATAAATAATACATTTTCTAGAACATGCTGCAAAAGGTGGTGTCATCTAAACTCAGTAGTGAAAGAAGTACCTAACTATGTACCACTACAAAATGTGGAAGTATCCTATGTCAGATCTGTCATTCAGAAGATTATCAAGTAAAAGTAGAGAAGTACAATCAGCAAAAAGTACTGTTGTAACTGGGTGAGTGGAGCTTGTTAATTCCAGAGTGTGTAAAGGGTAAGAAGAAGGATCTGAGGGTCGTGTTATGGTTATTGGGAGAGAGAAGACTTTCCGAATGAATAACATTTCTAATAATTTCTCCTTCACATGTAGGTCAGTGTTTCTTCGGCTGGTGAGTCTGGGTGTTCTCCTCTTCACCCTGTGGCGTCAGATCACCTGCGAAGGGGCTGAAAATACTGGAGAATGTAAACTCTGCCAATACAACCATGCACTTTACCCGGTAATAATAATAATAGATTTATTTTGTTAGCGCTTTTACTGGTGCTCAAAGACGCTTTACAGATATAGTGAAAAGAAAAGAAAGGAACAACAAATAAATATATAGTTAAAGTCAAATAATACAAAAACAATCACACATTAAAAGCCAGATTGAAGAGGTGAGTTTTTGTGAGTTTTTTGAAGGTGGTGAGGTCGGTGCAGTCTCTGATGGGTTGTGGGAGTGAGTTCCAGAGGGAGGGGGCAGCGACGGAGAAGGCTCTGTCCCCCCAGGTCCGGTGCGGGTGGGGATGGATAGGAGGTTGGCTTCTAATGAGCGGGGGCAGCGGGAAGGGGTGTGGTGGTGCAGCAGGTCTGTGAGGTAGTGGGGGGGGCCTGATTGTTAATAATAATTGTTAATAATACATGTAAATTATTATTATGCTTCCTCACAAATATAATCAAAGCTAGACAAAACCTTAAAAAAAACATAAACAGGGATCGAGACGACAAAAGTTAAGTTAAGAATGGGGGAAACATTAAAGATGACAAAAAGGCAAAGTTAATTCATAATATTTCTAACATTTAATAACATGTTCCTTTTTTGTTTATTGTTTGTTTCATCATGTAGTGCTGGGAAACGCGTGTAGGACAGGAGATGTATAAGCTGACTCTGTTTGACTTCCTCATCAACATCGCTGTGCTCTTCCTAGTGGAGTTTCCACGCAGGTACAAATCACTGTGTGAATTTGTCTAAAACTATCACTAAATTCCGACGTTTGTCAACTAAAGTGTGTGATTGTACTGTTTGTGTTTGTGTGTTAGGATGGTGGTGGACAACTGGTCCAATAAGCTGGCTCAGTGGGTGGGTCGACAGGAGTTTGTGGTTCCCGCCAACGTGCTCGGACTGGTTTATGGTCAGACTGTGGTTTGGACTGGAGCTCTATTTTGCCCTTTGCTGCCGCTCATCAACACCCTCAAGTTTATCCTCCTCTTCTACTTCATGAAGGTGAAGTTGTTGCTTTAATGAGCGTTGTTGGAGTGAGCCTGAGATCTAAGATTTTATTTTCCAACATCCCTGTTGTTTAAGTACCACAACCACTCTTGTTGACCTGGTGAACAGAAAGATGTTCCCCAATACTTTGCTTATGTTTTGTCACTAACCCTGTCCACCCATTTTTCTCCTCAGATTACACTCTTCCATAATTGTCGGCCAGCACTGAAGACGTTTCGCTCCACCACCTCCACCTTCTTCTTCCTGGTGGTGCTCCTGTTTGGCTTGGGCCTGGGCACAGTTGTCATGATATACAGTCTATCTGAGTGAGTGCCTATTTTATGTTTTACGTTTGATCTTAGCAGCCTTCTGTTAAGAACTAAACAAAATCAAACTATTCATTTCTAGCTTCTTGATGCAAATATGGACACGAATAATCACATGCCGCTTTGGATAATGGCAAATTGTTGAAGCTTAAATCAAAATGATATAATATATATTAACTAATTGAAAATTCTTTTAGACATCAAAGTACTCTCAAATGTCACTTTGAAGTCTGATTTCTACCTTTATTCACTGTAACAGTCCTAACAGAGAAGTATTAAATGTTTTTCCATGTTATATTACATTGTTGAAGTGTTTCCCTCTCTCCACCCAGGATCCGTCCTTCAATGAGTTGCGGCCCTTTCCGTTTTTTTCCCAGCATGTGGTCGATTGTGCCAACATCTTTCAACAACCTCTCCATCGTTACACAGGAGTTTCTCTTCTTCATCGGTTCCCAGTCATTCTCCATCCCCCTGTTTGCATTATCTTGGTGAGTCTACTATCTGTAGGACTATTATCCTGGCATATTCAGTACTGTACTTAACCTACATATAGCTTGCAGTCTATATCTTACCTTTGTATTATATGGCCCTTTACTGTCCATTTTATGATGTGTAATCACAACTCATTCCTCCCTGGCAGTGTGGTGATGTGCTATTTTGTGGCCTTAGCCTCCGTCTATGGAAAAAGTGTTGCCTTGCTAAGAGCTCAGATTAAACTGGTAAGTTGTTTACATGTATCTGTATGGCGTGGACATACATGCTCTTGAAATTGGACAATAAGTAGGTTGGCCTATGTGATTTCCTGATATGCACAGGCTTACTGATGCAACAGTGGATATTTTGCTTTCAGGAGGGCCGTGACAAGCAGTTCTTGGTGAAGCAGATTGAAATGCTGAGTGGACGACAGCAGATACTAAAACAGACAGCAGGAGCATCTAGCTGAACATAGCGTATGAACCATGTTTAGGTTTAACTAACTGCTTAACATGCGAAAACATGATGAGGCACTACCAAGGAATGTATGAACCCTATTTACATGCTAAAAAAAAAAGTTCACTCCTTTAGCACTTAATATCTGGAAAAGTGCAATGTCCTTTATTGGCATGCAGACAGTTGACGTACATAAATAGTAGTAGATACAACTATTATGTGTAAATAATGTATAAAATAAAATACAAATTTGTGGTAGACAATAATGTAAATATCTGAGCTGAATGTAAACAAGAATGTTGTAGATGTGTATGCATAATGAGTAGTAGAAGTAAATATGAACAATTTGTTAAAGTAAGTAAAATATACAAAGGTAAAGCGACAATAAGCAGTGTGTTTAAACTAAATAAAGCCAGGTATAAATTAAAAGAGTGTGTTTGTTGTTATAAATGCAAATGTTCATCACTTTTTTGTATCATGCAAACAGTTACACTGTATGTGTTTTGGTTCCTTTCTCACTTAAATCAGAATAAAATAGGAAGGAGGAATTATAGCCCCATCTAGTGCCACATGTGTGCTGTTTCAACAAGGTGTAGTGTTTACTTCCTGTTTGGGTCTACTTGTTCCTGTGGGCTACAGCTGGCAGCTAGCAAGAGCAACTCTCCTCCCTGCTAAATAGTAACAGTGTTATTTACCTGTCTGTTTATGTTAAATTGTTCGAACGACTAGGTCATTTTGAGTAAGAGGGTTCTCTGCTCGCTGCTGTTCCGTTAAATATAAACTGTAACGCTACATGAAAAGTAGCACATAGGCTACCGTTAGCTTAGTTGCATAAGCCAAATCAACGACGCCAACTGTGGAATATCTATTTTGTTCTGGCTTTATTTGGCTAATTTGTAGCCCTGCTTACTTCCCTTCTTCCTCTAGATACAACCGTAATGGTTTTATGAACAAATTGAGTGTTTTGGCCGTGCTTATTAACACTTCAATCGGAGCTAGCCTGCTACGCTAGCTTGCTTGCTATCTGCTTTGGTACATTAAAGACAGTCACCAAGGCAACAATGAACATCCTCCCGAAGAAGAGCTGGCACGTTCGAAACAAGGACAACGTCGCTCGCGTGCGGAAGGACGAGGCCCAGGCAGCAGAGGAGGAGCGCGAGGCCAAGCGTCGCGTGGAGCGTGCTGAGCAAGAGGTGACCCCATGCATATATCAAGACACCCTGGTGTTTGGTACTTCGTGTCATGATGCTGATGCTGCTAAAGAGCTGACGAGTAGTTACTTACTGTGGTGACCTCAGAGCTGAGCCTCAGTTTGACACAAACAGTGACGGAGCTCTACAAAAGTGCACCTCTAACAAACCCCTTTGTGTGTCCTCATTTATAGGTATCATTATACACATGATAAATAAATTAAGTCATCCTTACCACTTTATAGGACAATAAGGTTTGCTGGTTAAGCTATTCACAGAGTTCCCCCTCACATAAGCCCCTTTTTAAAACTGTGCCTTTAAAAATCAATAACATACTTGTAGTAAACTTAGTCATCATATTATCTTTTTATTTACAAAGGTGTCATCGTAATATTAATATTATACCACAAACAATAATGATGAAAATGCCTTCATGGTTGAAGCTTCAGTTACAGCAAACAGTGAAATATGACGATGCATTATAAAGAAGCCTTGATTGTTTTTTTATATTTTGAGTCCGGATGTAGAATAACAACTCTTCTTCTCCTCAGGCTCGTACTGAGTATCTGAGAAACAAATCCCGAGCGGCTCTCTCTTCAGCGGGAGAGACTAAGGCAGATGAAGATGAGGATGTGCCCAGCGGAGCAAGTGGAATCTTGGAGCATCTTAATCTTTTTCCCCTGGAGGATTCGTCAGGGAAGAAGGGGAATGTGGAATATCTCAAAGATAAGAAAGATGAACAGGTAACTTCTACTTTTTCTGTTGCTCTCACACGTCACAATGTTTGATGTAAGTTTAGCTTAACGAAAAGTGAATCATTTTACAATTCTTGCCCTTCTTTACATTTACAATACAATAAATCTTCTTTTGGCATCTTTTCACAACAAACTTTGATTTCTTCTGGTTTTTTTTATTTATTTATTTTTTCAGGAGAAGCAGGAACGCGCCATCGGCTTGCTGGTGTCTCTGGGACCCCAACCAGGGACTGAGGTCACTCCGTGGTACATGAAAACCGCCAAAGAAGAAGAGAAAGCAAAAGAAAAAGAAAAAGAACAGAAGAAAGATAAAGAAAAGAAAAAGGGACTGAGTGAAGAGGAGAAAGAAAAGAGAGATCGCAGATTGAAAGACCTTTTAGATCCATTGAAAGATATGAAGAAGGCACTGGCTGTGAAGGACAGAAAACACAACAAAAACAACAAGAAAAATGAAAGGAAAGACAAAGGGGACAGGAGGAGCAGTGGAGAGAGGTAAGAAGATAAATTACGCTTGTCGCTCATATTTGTATTATATAATTAGTAATATTTAATAGTGGAGCATCTGATATCATTTAGAAGATTGATTTCCAGCATCTCAGAATGGTCAGACATAGTCTGCATGATTTTTTCCGTTTTTGCCGTTTAGTTCTTCAGTTTTACAGGGATAGTTTAACGTTGCGGATATTCCACTTATTTGCTTACTTTGTGAGATCTAAATGACAAGCTTGATACCGCTCTCATGACTGTACTATGAACTACGCTGAACATTTAGCTACATCTAGCAGTTAGCTTGAAAACTGGAATCAAGCGAAACTGCTTGCCTGGCTTTGTACAGGGAGACAGTTTCCCTAAAAATGAATTAGTCTGTAAGGTTGAAATGAATCAAATGTGATGATGTTGTAAATCTCCCTATGGAGAGACATAAAACATTTGTATATCCTGTATTTTGCAGCTCCATAGAAAGGTTGCGTGCTGAGCGTTTACAGAGGGAGACTGAAGAAAGGAGGAGAACCCAGGCGCTGCTCGACCAGAGGAACGGCAAAAGGAAGGAGCCGGGGAGGGAGACGATGGAGAGGGAGATGCCGTACAACAGTGCATACTTCCCTGAACTGGCCAGAAAGCGTCAAAGGCGAGATCGAGATAGCTGGAGAGACGAAATATTAAAATCATGAACTATCTTTATTGGTCGTCTAAGGAGTGTGAACTATGATGAATGGTTAGTGGAGTAATGTGACCAGTATGTTTTTCCAAATGATGAAATTGTCAAAAGTTATGTCATGTTTTTGCATGCCTCCACAGTAAATAACAAATTACAAAAACAGAGAATAGTCTGGATGAATTGAACTAAATGGGGGTTGAGGTAAAATATATCAAAAGGTACTCTTGCAGTATAACCTTGTTTATCCACGAGTATACTCTTACACCTCACAGTTACATTTCTTCCATCTAAACAGTATCAGGTTTGCAAAAGAGTGTTCATGTGAGTACTGCTTTGGTGGAAGTGTATTAAATGGTTGGTTTTAGTGAAAATACATTGTTGTTAGATGTGCTCCTCATTCATTTCAAATGATCAAGACTTGTCACTGTATTTGGATTATTTGTTCACTGTGGAGGTGTGTAAACTATTTAAGAACAAACCATGTATTTGTATAGCTAACGAAGAGGCCATTTCGAGGCCAATTTTTATTTATTATTCTTCACCCAGAAAATCAGAGGTCAGGTTCGGTTACAGTTACCTTTCTCCCCTGCAGCGTTTCACTCATGATCCCGACAGCAGGGCAGATGGTTGTCCTCACAGGGGGCTTACAGCACAGCTCTTGGCAAAGAAAACACAGCGGACAACTGTTAAAAAGATGCATACTGTTGTTAACATTAAAGATGTTGTAAGATATTCCAAACTGAATAAACTGGTCTATTGGTGAATAAATTAAACTGTAAACAGAAGAGCTGAAACAATTAGTCGTTTAATCAATTAGTGAAGTAGAAAATGGAAAATCTTAATTAACATCCATTGTGTTACTTCAAGCACAATTCTTAGGGTTTTGTACTGTTGGTCCAATAAAGCAAACAATCTGTTTTCAGACCAAATATTCATCAGATTAAGAAATTATTAAACATATTTTTTAGACAGCTCTATGTGAGATCATATCGCACATATCGGTACAGATAAAATAAATTGTTTAGCATTTCATAACTCAGTAAAAACGTTTTTTTCATTTTCTGGATTTAATGCAGTCTTATGTTTTTGCAATAGCAAATAAAAATAAAGAAAAGGTGCAGTCAATTGTATTATTAAAATCATTGTTGTTACTATTTATCAGTAATAGACAAAGCAAGTGGCACCCCAAAGACCTCATATGAATACTGAAGTGATATTTAAAAGATACAAAATTCAATATGCAATCAATAAAACCACACACACACACACACACACACACACACACACTACATTGCCTCCCAGTGGGAATATTATCACAGATGTATTTTCTTCTTCTCTGGGTATGGAGCTGGACCATGACAATGCGCGCCGTGTGTGTCTGACGTAGGCTGGCGGAGGAGAAAAACACAGACACCCCTCCACCACTGAAGCAAAGGGGGGGAGAAAGAAATGTTATATATACGCGTGTGTTTGTAACGGGTGGTTGTTTTCAGCAGAGATGCGCGGAGTAACGTGGACCGAGGATGCACAATAGAGCACCGTGTTTAATTGCGGATTAAAGCAGGGGGGAGGAGGCGAGAGAAAAGGAAAAGGAGGGGGGAGAGCACAACAAGGAAGGCAAGGAGACGCTTCTTTATTATTAGGAGAAAAGAGGGGGGGAGACACACAGACAGCGTGAGCCCGGAGACGGTACAGACCGTGGCGGGGGAGAGGAGGACACCGACAGCCAGCAGCGTCGCTCGGATGGTGTTGTTGCTCCGGACGCGGCGACGATGCGGCCACACTGCTGGGTGATGGTGGCGCTGGCGGGGACCATGTCGTATCTTAGCCCGGAGAGAGCCCTCGGAGCCCCGCAGAGGGAAGGTGAGCGGAGGAGAGGAGGAGGACAGGAGGAGGAGGGGGATTGAAAACCTGTCAGGGATGCTGGAGAAAGGAGCAGAGATGGGGGATGTAGTCAGTAATCAAAAGGCCTCTCTACTGGCTGTGTTATGAGACATAATGAGAATTATTATTGTAGTGTACGTGGCTGGCTTAATCAAAACAGGAGCGAGTCTGGTTTGGTGATGGGTAGGGTACCATATTTGCATGCAGGGATGAAAATATTAGGGGGGGGTGTTTCGATGTCGGGCCTCACATCGATGCCATTTGAAAACAGCATATTCTGTATGAATAGCTGGCCAAAAACGTCGGTCAGTGCGATATATGTAGTCTATAAATAGCCTCTGCTTTGCACCGGAGATTATTTAGCCTATTTCCTACTGTTGGCATCTTTATTTTCTCTATCTGAATATGCCTTCTTCCCCCCAAGATCAGGCAGTGTGTTGTGTTTGTGTAATGTGCAGTCATTGTGTTGTGGTGTATTGTTTTGATACGAGCTCCTGGCACCGGGGCTGGTGGAAAAGGCCCCGTGTTAGGTTCCTATTTATATGCAGTGTCTGTCTGGAAATCTGTCTAGGGAAAGATGAAAGAATAGCCCTGCACAGGAATTGTGCATCATCAGGATTGGAGCCATCACTTATGTTTGTGGTGCATGTTTATGGGGCCACACTGCCCAAAGGGGTCTTTCAGTTTTCCTATAGCCCCTGTTTTGCATGTACAAATATCACAAATTAGCTGTGGAATCCAGAGTATAACATTTATTTGAATTTGCATCAGATTTGATCATTGATGAGCCCACACTTTGGTACGAATGTGGTTTTATATTCTGGTCACATCTTTACTCACTGTTGCGCAGGGTGTGTAAAACAAGTACAATCCTGTTATGTTGCAACTTTTCTGTGAACAAGCAAAAGACAAAAAAACAAGATGCTAAAAGTGTTACTTTAAATGCGGCCCACAAAGGTATCTTGGGGAAAAAACGCATAAGTTGTGTTTTTAGTAGAATGCTGATCCTCTTGTTACAATATTTATTAAGTTGGTTAATTATTCATTATACTTTGAAATTTATGTATGCAGTGTTTACCATATCAAAACCCTGTGAATGAATCTATTTTTGGATTTCTGTGAGTGACATGGAGAATGAATTTGGGATATTTTAAGACAGTGCAGTGACTTGTAAAACATTAGCCAAGTCATACATTTCAAGAAAAGATTTCAAGATTGTAACCCCATGAATTATATATATTTTTTACCTAAAATAGGTTTTTATTTCACATGCGTATAGTTATTTTAGATAACATTAGTAATAGAGCTTTTTTTTTGGATAACAACAATTAAAAGTGTAAGTAATTTATTGTAATATCAGTGAATACAGTTCTAAAAGTTTATTAGGAGAGTACAGGGGTTAACATTTCCTAATAACTGCCTTGCTAATAGGGTTAGGGTTAGGGTCATGTGTCATTTAATGTCTAAAATGCTGCTTTGTTTACACTGAAAAGATAGGCTGAGGTATGGTTTGAATATTAATGTTTATAATGTGTCCTTCAATGTGTTAAGCGTGAGTTGGACAGCTTCTGACTGTTTCAAGGTTACATTGTTCCTCTACTGATATAATGTTTGACGTATTTTGGCTACAGTGTTAATATGGAAACTATAGACAATACCTGAAGGGTATTTAACCACACTGCCCTGCCCCTTTTCTTTTCTACAGATGGTTCACTTCTCTCAATCAACCACGTTGAGGTACAAATATCAAAATGTCCCGATCCCTCCCTCTCTTACCTGAGTAGTAAACCTTCCTGATTTCAGTAACTTTTTTCCAGTTTCCAACCCTTCCCAATTAGCGCTCCTTTTTACCTAAATGACAACCAGCCACCCCTCCCTGCTTCTTAACTGTGTTTCCTGAGTGGAATGCCATTTTTGATATTTCCCTTTTCCCCCGTGCTTTTTTCCCTTACTGGAATGGTATATTATCCCACTTTCAAACTTTAATTCCAGTCTCTATTTTCTTTTACTGATACAGACGATTCGTTTTTTATCCTCAACTTAGTTTGTTTTCCTGCTTTCTCCCTCCAAATCCCTAAAGCAAGCTGTCCATTGGGGTTCTCCACTGTTTCCCCAAACCTGCCACTAAGAAACGCTCCAATGGTTTCCCTCTTAACAAAACACCTGTGTACCAAGATGTTACACCTTTCTGATTCAGTGAATTCTCTCTTTCCTTCTCACTGACTCAGACCTAACAATCTGCCACCCATATATTTATGTGTTAAATCCTTTCCTCTCTTGTATGTTCTTCCTTTCTCTCACTCAGTTTCTCAGACCAGGGCTGCCTCCCTCTCTCCTCCTCCCTACGTCGTCATCCTCATCTCTTGCTCGGGGCTCGTCTCTTTTGTCCTGCTGCTCCTGACCTGCCTGTGCTGTAAGAAAGGAGGAGTGGGGTTCAATGTAAGTCTTCAACATGTAAGAGATCTATTCACCCTTCTCTGCTTTATTTTTTCACACACCTTTTATGCATGCTGGCATGTATTTTTCTTTAATTTAAGCTTGGCTTGATTAACTGAGGGAGGATTTGACATGGAAATAGAAACAGGAGACAATATTTCCAACTTAATGAAGCAGAAATTGTCAATAATCATCTCCCAGTCTAATCTTAACTAAGCCTCCATCCTTCGAGCTGACAGTGTTGTTGAGCAGGCAGACAGGGTGTCATTAGTTAAGAGTGGCTGCTTTTTTATTGTCTGCCTCGCTCAATCCAGACATATTATCAAGTGACACTGCAGCTTATTTTATATTTTCAACCAGTATTGTGATTTCCTTATGCTGCTGTGCCACCACCAGGAGTTTGACAATGCAGACGGAGAAGAGATCTCTGGAGGCTCCAGTCCTATCCAAGAGGACAGCCTGTCGTCATGTCCCTCCCTCCCTGAGGTCTACACCTTGCCGGTCAGAGACAGGCCCACCTGCCCTGCCCTGCAGGATGGAGCAGGTAACAACCTAAAAAAAACAACTCCTGTTCTCTGACACTTATTTGAGCACACAAAACCCCCGAAAATGAAGCTGAAGAAATATCCTGCACTGAACTCCCTCATGGTCTGTTGCCTGAATCACTGATGTGGATCCATTAAAGGTCTCAAACCGAGAGCACAACCAGTTGCATTGGACTCCCCTCTGCAGTTCAATGGAGTGGAAACTCTGATCTGAGAAAATTCTGCATCAGTGCTCTGTGCAGGCCGGCCACGTTGGACATTTGGCCTCAGATAGGGATGGTGCGAGCTAGTCACGATATTCACCAGGCCATTGATCATGGCCAAAATAAATTCACACTAAATTATCAAAATATATATTAAAAGAACAATTACACAAATTGAAATTGAACCTGATGAACTCCTAATAAAAGAAAGTCCATAAGGCCTCAAGAAAGAAAAATAAATGGTTGAAGATGTGCTGATATCAGCATGTGTTGACATCAGTGGCGTAGCTGTGGGTGGGCCCACCCACATGCATGTCTGGCCCACCCACAGCCAATCAGCGCGTCATAGCAATTTTGACGTTCCTGACAAGCGGCAAACTCTGGGGCAGAGCCGGGAAGCGCAGAAGGAAGTGCCACAAACTGCAGTTCATCTGGCCGACATGGTATGGATGCAGAAAGGAGCTATTTCCATAGACCCCATGTTAAAATGCCCAACTTTACAGCAGAAATAAACATGTTTCTAGCCTGGATCCAATACAACTTATTCTGGATATAGTTAGATTCCACCTTCATGACAATGGAATAGGGAGTGCATTTTTTTACCGTGTGTAAATTAGTAAAGTAAGTTTTGCCCGTGAGTGAATGAAAGTCTTATTTCTTCTTGAGGTCTGCAGTGAAGCGTGTACACATTTGCTGAATATGAAAACACTCTCAGTGTGTGCCCACTGTGCGACTGTCAAGGATAAACAACCTGTGGCCGCCAAGCCAGTCATGTGGATGTCAGTTTTACACTCTTTCATTCTGAGGCCGCCGAGCCTATGTTTTTGTTTTCACTGTTAGTTTATGTTTATGCTTATGTTTAATTAGTGCATTAAACAATAAATAAAATCATTAATGAAGTTTCAGCTCAGACCCCACACTTAATAAGTCTCCCCCTGGCCCACCTACATTTCTCCAAGCCCACCCACACAATAATTCCTGGCTACGCCACTGGTTGACATGACATCAATTATTTATACACCATAAATATGTATTGGGTGTATCGTGACGCCCCTATCAGCACACCTTATTCATTTTGTTGCAGCAATGTTTTTTTGTCATTCTGATACTTTGCTGTGTAGAATAATGTGTGCCCACTAGAAGCCATTTTTAAATTGTATTTGCTGAACGTTTATCTGTGCTGAACTAAATACAAGTCTCTCTCTTAGTATTACATCATGATTTTGTTATATCACACCACATTTGGAAGCCTTTTGTGGTTCAATATACAAGTTACTTAAAAATGATGTGGAAACATCAGAATCAGAAACAGTTTTATAACCAAATAGGTTTACACATACGAGGAATTTGCTTTGGTATAAGTGGTGCATACAGACACAGAAACATGAAAACATTTTCTTCAGCCAAGTAGGAGACATCTTATTCCTGGTATAGATATACTTTTCAGATGCATAGATTCTGGATCTTCCCTGAGTGTATCATCAGTTTTTAAAAGTGATCTTTTCTGCAGTTACAAAATGTACTTTCATATATTGAACATCAAACGCAGATTGTGACCCTGATCTTTTTTTATTCCTCGTCTATTTTACAGACTCCAAGTCGCAGTGCTTCAAAAGACACGCTTTAAACTATCTTCAGGAAATAGGAAATGGCTGGTTCGGAAAGGTGAGACAATCAACTCTAATATTCCTACACCATTTAGTTTTCATGTAAAATATAACCCGGGTCACAGATACATTTTTCTGATCTGTTATATTTAATGACCAGATGAGGGGTGTAAACTAAAGGCTGTTGTTTTACTGCTGGTCCTCTCCTGAGCACTCTCCCGTGATATTACTCATTGATCTGTTCAGGTGATCCTGGCCGAGGTGCTGTGTGACTGCAGCTCCTCTCAGGTCGTGGTGAAGGAGCTGCGTGTCAGTGCCAGCCCTCTGGAGCAGAGGAAGTTCTTGGCAGAGTCCGAGCCGTACAGGTGAGAAACCATTTTGGACGCAAAACAATGTTACTTTGGCTTGACAACAATTACTGTAACAGTTCGTTACTGTGTTTGACAGTGTGATTAGAGTACAGTGTTCAAATCAGGTCTGAAGGAAATCTGCACTACAGGAAAACGTGTCTAAAATAAGTTAATGTTAGCTATCAATAACAGATCCTACAGGGAAGGCGGTATGTGCATAGAGTGTTTTAAGTTGATGAAAACGGCATTTTCAATCATTGACTGAAGGAGCAACATTGGGTCTGGCTTGGATTCAACCTGTTTACACTCTAAAAAATATTGTTTTAATTTTGTATTGTGTACTTAGAGAGATACTGTTACTGCAGGTAGATGATAATAAAACACACAGACACTAATACACAGAGGAAGCAGCAAGGTCTTTATGTTCTTTTTTCTCTATTGCTATCTCTGGGCAAATCCCACTACAAACATCACCACCATGCCTGCAGTGCACACACATACTCACACACACATATACACCCACAAAGAGTCATTTTCACACACATTCATATGCTGTCTATTTCGTGCTCTCACTCAGACAAACATTTCACTTTTCCTGTTATCTTTTCTGTGTCTGATGTAAACACACCTACATAACAACATGCTAAACAAACACTATCTATCTATCAATCTATCAATCAATCAATCTATCTATCTATCTACCTATCTATCTATCAATCAATCTATCTATCTATCTATCAATCTATCTATCTATCTATCTATCTACCTATCTATCTATCTTTCTATCCATCTATCTATCTATGTATGTATCTATTTATCTATCTATCTATCTATCTATCTATCTATCTATCAATCTATCTATCTATCTATCTATCTATCTATCTATCTACCTATCTACCTATCTATCACTCTATCTATCTATCTATCTATCTATCAATCTATCTATCTATCTATGTATCTATTTATCTATCTATCTATCTTTCTATCCATCTATCTATCTATCTATCTATCTATCTATCTATCTATCTATCTATCTATCTATCTATCAATCTATCTATCTATCACTGTTTGTTTGTCTGTTCATCTATCTGGTTTCTCTTTCTTCCTCGAGGAGCCTAAAACATCCGAACGTCCTTCAGTGTTTGGGGAAGTGCAGTGAGAGCGTCCCCTTCCTCCTGGTTATGGAGTTCTGTCAACTGGTGAGTACAAACTGCTGTTTGAATATCGAACAAAAGGGAAATTAAAACTAGCTTGGTGTGTACACAAAATAACATAAATACTTGTCAACAAGGCCTGTGACTCAAAACTAGCAACATTAGTGCAACCATTGTAATGTGTCTTTTAAAGATGAACTACTGCTTGTTTTTCTCATTTCGCTTCGTTTATCTACAATTTGTGCTCAAATAATCTTTCATTTTCAGTGCTGTGTTGGTTGTTCAACTTGTATCTGAAAATTCTGTGCTGTCTATTGACATGACAGCTGTTGAGTCTGTAGTTATACAGAGTGGTGTAAGAGTTGCATTAAATGTATGGGTTGTTTTCAACCTTATCTTAACTTCATTTACCCCTTGATTAAGTGGTTTTAATGTCATTGTAATCATCTCATTTGCTGCAGGAATGATAAATGATTATGTTATAAATGTTCCGGTAGAACTTGAATCAGCTTTACATCAATACGCCAGCTTGTTTTCCTTCCCTCATCGGGCTTACTCCCTGACTGATTAAGGAAACCATATGAGTTGACTCTCCGGCCAAACAAAGACACACACAGATCAATTATATCAACACAGTGAGAGAAGCCAAACAACGCTGAGGGCTTCGTAGACTGCTATTATCATGTAGGATAATGTCTCCTATTGTCTATTTCTTGTGGTTATTTTCAATCCTTTTTTTATAGTCCTCATTATATTTATTTATTCTTTATGTTCATAGCCTTCCCTTAAGCTCACAAGACTAATACCAAGGCTGCCACCTTATTACCAATATCCTGCTGCTTTGAGCCTCTCTGATGGAAAACACCCTAAAAAGGGATGGATTTACTGCAGAAGTCCTACATATTCTCTGTTCTCTGAATCATCTCTGTTTTACAAGAAGGACACAAGCACTTACTGTGCACAATGTTGTCCAAACTGGCATTACCTTACCTTGTACTTAAGCATGCATGCAATTGACTGCTGGCATTACTGTTGTGATGTTCAATTAGGGCGACCTGAAGAGGTACCTGAGGGCCCAGCGCAAGTCAGATGGGATGACTCCTGACCTGCCCACTCGGGACCTCTTGACTCTTCAGAGAATGGCTTTTGAGATCACCTCCGGTCTGCTGCATCTCCATGAAAACAATTACATCCACAGGTCAGTCATGACTTCACCTCTGCGCATAATCAGGATCTAATCTTTAAACAAGATTGTATCTCTAAAATGATATGTCATGACATTAAAAAGAAGGTAATTTGCTCCTTTTTTTATGAACTCTTTTAATAATCTAATGTTTATCTTGGCGTGTGCTGGAACTTGTCTTTTTGGTTTACTAAGATTTTATATTGTTGTTTAATGTGGCTGATTGATGGAGGTTGTGCCTACTTTCTGCAGCGACATGGCTTTAAGAAACTGCCTGCTGAACTCTGACCTCACTGTCAGGATAGGTGACTACGGCCTTTCACACAACCATTACAAGGTACGTTTTGATTTGATCTGCAAAATGTACCCTTGGTGGATCCATGTAGGATATTAGATTGATTTCCATTCTAACATGTGTAAATTCGTCATTCAGATAATGAAAGTGCATTTATAAAAATAATTCTTGTTGTATGACATTGTGAAGGAGGACTATTACCTAACTCCTGACAAGTTATGGATCCCGCTGCGCTGGATTTCTCCTGAGCTGCTGGAGGAGTACAGAGGATCTCTCATCGTTACTGACCAAACCAAGGCCAGCAATATGTGGTTTGTACATTTGTATAGATTTCTATGTATTCATTTAGAGCGGTCACATCTGATTATATAGTGCAAGCCAGGTAGGATATGGATATTTCATGTGGGTAATTTATAATCGTATCCATCTATTTGGTTCTCAAGCAAGTTTTCCCTTTAATAATATCATGACAAAACTGGTATAACAAACAGAATATCTTCTTATTACATGTTTTATGTATTTATCGTGCCTCAGTCTTGTTTCTTTTGAGTCAGAGCTCTGTGTAAAACAAAGTGTTCCTTTAAAAGCATTACATAACAAATAGGTCTGTGAAGATCTGTGTCTCACCATCTCTACATTTCATTTCCCCCTGCAGGTCCTTGGGGGTGGTTATATGGGAGCTGTTTGAGTTTGGCTCTCAGCCCCACAGACACCTGAGTGACGAAGAGGTGCTGACCTTCGTCATTAGGGAGAGACAGATCACCCTGGCTCAGCCCAGACTCAAACTCTCCCATGCCGACTACTGGTCAGTGCTTATCCACTGAGTGGAGTTTGCAGAAAGGATGATTATGTTAATGGTAGTGATTATGCTCTAATTCTGTTTGTCTCTCCTGTCCTCAGGTATGAGATCATGCAGTCCTGCTGGCTACCTCCATCCCAACGCCCTTCTATCGCAGAGATCTTCCTCCTCCTCTCCTCCCTCCTGGCAGCAGAGCGAGGAATAGCAAGGGATAGTGTTGGGGAAGAAGATGAAGAGGATGAGGAGTATGAGGAGGGCAGTAGAAGGCGAGGGGAGAGCGATGAGTCGTTTGAAAGACGCTGGGACTTACTCCGACCGCCGGCTTTCCAGATTGCAGCAAACGAGCGGCAACGGGAGAGAGAGTACGGAAGGGAGGACAGAGACAACTCCTACCCCCTGCTGGACCCTGTGGGGAACTGTATCAACGCGTCCTCGACTGAACTGGACGACATCCTGACAGTCACCGAAACCAGCAAAGGCTTGAACTTTGAGTATTTCTGGGAGAAGGCTCATTCCAGACGCGGCTACAAACCTCTCCCTCCTCCCCAGCCAATCCCAAGTGTGAACAATAACCACAGGCAGTCTCTGGACACTCCCACCGTCGTCCCGGTGATAAGCGCCCGCAGCCCCTCCCTCGCCAGCGAGTACTACATCAGATTAGAGGAGCACACTCCCCAGGACAAGTCGCCAACTCTTAAAGGGAAGTCTTTCCGCTCTGACTCGATCTGCCTCGGAGACATGGAGTTGATGGAGATCCGCAGTGGAATGCTGGGAAAAGAGCGAGTCCCTTATTTCTCGTCTGACAAGTGTGGGAAGGGTATCCAGACGGTGAGATCGAGCGAGGTTCATCTCCATGTGCCCAACACAGGGGTGGCTGAGTTCAGAGACACTTCGAGCAGAGTGACTGACTTCTCAGTAGTCGATTTAGGAGACGATGATGATGATGAGGAGGACAGGAGACGGAGTAGTGATCCGGATAAAATAGCCCCGGTCCTTCCTCCCAAGCCTCGCTCTATGTCCATGTCGTCAGCCAACCATCTCTACTCGCGCCCCCTCCCCGCTCCTCCACTCGGTTACAGAGGACTGCCTCACTACACCATCGGGGGGAAAATCGAAACAGACCCCCATCACATCACTACCTTTAATCACCTGGGCCTCCATAGGGCCCGACAGACACTACCCCCATCCCCATCGCTATCCCCCTCCCTTCCCCCATCCAGCCATCCGATCTACCCCCAACCTCCTCAAATGTGTCCCCCACCCCTCCCTCCCCACTCCAAACCGCAAAGAGGTTTTCCCAGCTACAACACAGCGGAGACTTATTCCAGATACAGTCGGCCGCAGATGCAGAGTTCGAACAGAGACCCGCTATCCTGTGACTTGTCTGACAGAGAGGGTGGCAGCAGGCATTTAGCATCCTTGCACAACTCCAAGGACAGTTCCCATTCTCGTGCAAAAGACTTTGACTCCCCCATTCGCAGAGAAAACCCGTTTCGCCCAATTTACCGTAATTTACCCCGCCCTCATCCTGACAGACAGTCTTCATCAAGTCCTACCTACTCAGACGAGGATGACTCTCCTTTTACGTCCCCAGAGAGAAGCAGTGGGAACTCTGTCCCTCACTCCAGCCTCTCTGAAGATGCAGACCCTTCCGCTGGAGACTCCTTCTCCAGGGGAATGAAAAGGACTCAGTCCCGACTTGACACCATCCTGCCGGCCATCTGGAGGGAAGATGCTGAACTCCTTTCTGAACGTGTGGCCGCTGCCAAAAAATCCCCCATGCATCTGTTTCTGACGGAGATCTCGAGTGTGACAGAGTCCACTGAGTCCAAGTCTGAGGCTCCATGGGAGGGAAAGAAGGAGGAGAAAAGAGATGGAGAGACGTGGGGGAACTTTGTTTTGCCCAACAGAGGGATGCGGCGCTCCCGGTCGCTGATCACAGAGCTTGGGTCAGCAGGACAGTCATGGGGGTCAGAGAAACGCAACCACAGCTCGGGAAATGAGGAGGACCAAACAGTCACTAACGAATCAGTTCAGAGGGATCTCTTCCTCACAGAGATTGACACAGGCATGGACACGGGTCCAGAGGGAGGATCTCAACCCGATCCAGTCAAATACCTCTATCCTTCAGGATCCAGGTTGCGGCCCTATGTCTGTGCGCCTGGCCTGCCCACGTACACCGAGGCTGAGGAAGCGTACTCTAAAGGAATACGGAGATCCCGCTCCCTCCTCTCTGAGATCACTGTCGGGAAGCAGGAGTCTGACCTGCAGCAGGAGCCTGCCAAGACAGAGATGACCAGGGAGGAGTTCCTGAAGGAGATCCAATCAGCAGAGACCTTCCTGACGGAAATCATATCCAGACAAAATGCTGCCACAAACAAAAAGGAGACAGATTCATCTTACTCCCCTACTCCACTATCTCCTGAATACGAGTCCATTTGCATTGACCCAGGCTCCGCTCAGACCATCAGGTTTCAGTCGGAGAGCTCCATACGAGCATCCAACAAAGGAAAAGAGGAAACACCAACTGAGGCCATCTATGCTCAAGTGACCAAGAGGGCTAAAAAGAGCGAGATAAAGGTTTCTATGAAACCGGAGATCCCAGTCCTTCATATAGGATCAAATAAACAACCTCTCACATCGGACAGCGAAGGAAGCGATGCTGATCACTGCCAATCTGGTGATTTTGTGTTTTCAGAAATCATGCCCAAAAACGGCCTCCTGCACAACCAAACACATGCAAGTCAGAATGAGGAGGAGACTTTAGATGGCCCCGCTTTACCTGCAAGAGGAGAGCAAACAGCAGAATCCAACACTGTGACACAGCAGGAGAATGAATCGCTGGAAACAGATACTCAAAGAGAAGATGTTATAGGGAATGGAGGGTTAATGAGAGCAGACAGGGCAAGCAGCCCTGAGAGAGACGATCAGACAACATGTGATGTTGACCAAGAAAAGTACCACACTGATATCATTTCTGCAGTGGATTCTGAAAATATCACTGCAGCAGATCTGGAGAATTTTGGTTCTCAGATTCATGATGAGGCAAAGAGAGAAAACAATGACACTGAGCAGGAAAAACCTTGTCACATTTCCCAAGAGGAAGCCGCTCCTGCTATCACTCCAACTACTCCAGACTGGGACCCCTCCTCTGACGTCTCACTCATGACCCCCACAGACTCGGTCCTGTCTCCTTTGACTTCAAACTCAGCCGACTGTCTCACACCCAGTGACTCATGGACGAGCAGCGGAGGCGGAGTGGGAAGTGGCGGGTGGCGAGCTCTGGGAAATGAAACACCCCATCGAGACTCTGCATATTTCTCAGACAGCGACTGGGAGGGGGACGGGATGACCAGGAGGAGCAGTGATGGACTCATGGCCTCCAGGCCGAGCAGCAGTCGAGCAGCAGACAGGGGAACTCTGACTGGGATAGAGGAGAAAACTGAGGAGGAGGGGGAGAATGGAGAAAAGAGCCCCTTAAGAAATAGTAAAAAGACGTCGGATAAGAAAAGTGAAAGTGGAACAACTATTGAGATGTGTGAGGAAAGTATAACTTTATATCAACATGCTACAGAGAATTCTGTCCCTGATTTAGGTGATGATGAAGATTCTCTGAACAAAGAGCTTGAGTCAACACAGAGAGATGACTCTGGCATTTTCCAAAACGAGAGCAAAGAGTCATCACTGCTTTGTGATGATCAGCAGGCCAAGGACTGTGTTGACTTAATTGATAAGTTATTCACAAAATTAGATGATGAGCCACTGAAAGGGCTTCCTCACAGCAGCGGGTATCCGATAGACAACGACTACACAGATGGCGTCGTCGCTCAGATAACAGATTGCAAATACCAGGACGCTGCAGAGAACAAATTTAATCTGCAATCCAAGAGCCTCGCTGAGAAAAACGTTTTGATCGAGGCTCTATCTGACAGTCTGTCAAAGGATTGCGTCTTGAGGCCCAACACCACAAGTATAACAGAGACTGATATTGATATTTCTGCAATGAACTCTCTCAAATGTGGAAATGACGCTGTGCAATCTGCAACACCATCTCAAGATGACAACAGAGAGTCAAGGTTATCCACCATGTACGGAATTCAAAGCAGTGACCCCACACTCGGAGATCCAGCGGCGTCAGTAGTCGAGTCAAGCGATGACGGGACGTCTGTCTTTGATAAAGAGAGTGGTCTGATTAGTCCTTCTTGGGCCGAGGAGGGTGATGAAGAGTCTGAAGGAGGTGAAGAGAGGCCGGGGCTGGACCACAACGAGCTGGGCCTGAGAAACCTGCAATGCTCAGAAGGCAGCGAGGTAAAGAAGGTCACGACGGAGACGGAAACGGAGACGGAGACGGAGAAACAGCTGGCTGCCACAGAGCTGAGTAACGCCATGAAGGAAAAGTCCCCCTTGAGAGGGACAGTGAGTCGGATGGACTCTGCTAACAATGTGGATAATAACTCCTGTGAGGGCCTGGATGTGAAGACTAAAGAGTTATGGAGCGCCCTGGAGGAGGATGAAGAACTAACAGGATCTGGTGTCGTTAGGGGGGAGTTTGACTGCCATCGTTTTTTACAGTCAAGTGATTTACGGTTGTGGCCTGATGAAAATGACCAGTGGGCCTCACCAGAGAGGAGGAGCCAAGATGTTGAACTCAGGTCTGAATTGTTCTCTGGGTTCAGTAATAAAGCCTGGGAGGTGGGGGAAAGGCTCGTTGTGGGTCAGGAGTTTTGGGAGGCTGAAGAAAACGATGAACTTGCAGGAAGTGAAACTCATCCTGCCATCTTGGCGGGCAGTGAAGAAACCAGGAACGAGGAAACACAAGGACTTGTGGGTAATCTTGCCCTGAAGGAAAGGTGGGACTCTGCAGACAGTGATGATCAACAGTTGGAAGAAGTGGTAGAGATACAACAGGTAGAGATACAACAGGAGGAAAATATTGAGAACTTCATAGAAATTGGCTGTCTCAACAAAGACCTGGAAAGAGAAACCTCAGATATTGAAGTAGAGAATAAAGAAATCCCAGAGCAGGAGTCCTTGGAGAAGGACGAGAGTAAGATTTTATGTACAGACAACGAAGGTCTGCAGGACTCCACAGAGACGGAAGAAAATCAAAATTTTAACAGATGTCCTCAGAATCTCCAAAAAGACGAAGAGACATCAGCCAAGCAAATTGATGAAACCATCTCTAACCCAGAGAGCTGCTTCAGTCAAACTTTAGAAAGCTCAAGTATAATTATTTGCATCACCGAAGCTCCTCATGAGAACCTTTCCCACCTGGAAAATGTTGAATCAGGCGCAGAATCAGAGGAGGAAACAAGACCATGGCATGCTAAGGAATACGTAGAAGAGAGAGTAAGCATTATGAATGAAGAAGAGGATTACAGAGACTTGCCCCCTCCACCCAATCCCATCTATTGTCCTGATGACCTTGATATGCAGGAGGACACAGATCCACAGGTCGACAATTTCAGCTCGGTAGATTTCCCTAGTCCTCCACCAAGCATAGACCTTGATGTGCAAGATGATAAATTGGAGAGTTTAGACGACTCTTTTCCTAGCCCACCGCCATCTGTTATCGAGGCAGAGGAGTTTATTAGTCACATTAATCTTGAAGACTTTATTGCTAGTACTGAGACAGAGTCGTATATTTCCCCGACTCACAGCGCAGACGTGTCAGAGCCACCTCTACAAGAATCACCACCTGCTACAACTCAGAGTAAAGGGATCTCAGCCAACCTGAACCTCCCCACTGTGCATATAACCCTGGCCGATGAGAGCGACCTCACACCCAACACAGAAATACAGGATGAACCGAATAATCTGTTCCAGGAAACTTCATCTGCCACCCCATCTCCACCCCAGGTTCCCCTCAACAACCTCCCAGAATTACTGATTTCAGAGTGGAAAGATTTGGATGAGGAGCCCCTGGAGGATTTTGAAAAACTGGAACAACTGTGCTGCATTTCTGGGGACGAAGAGGACTCTCTGGGCGACCTTTTTCTGGGGAACCTGGAGATCCTGGAGTCTCTGAAGAAGACACCTGAGCAGAAGGGCAGCAGTGTTGGTGAAAGTGATGAAGGTGAGAAGACAGGTGGCTCCTCTACTCCTGAGGGGAGCAGGGGGGATTCGAATGACGAGTCTGATACTCTGGCAAAGTCAACACCACAGCTGATCCTGGATTCTCAAGAGAAGAAGAACGACGGCCAGAGATCACAGAGTGAAACATCTGATGTCAAAGACCATGGCTCTCTCTCTAAGATGACAACAAAAAATGGCCTCATGATGCAGGTGAGGTTTTTTTGTCTTTTTTCTTTCTGTTTTGTTTGATGTAAGAGCATTCTCTATATTAGCTTTCTACGTGTATTCACGCCTCTTCATTGTTTTGTTTTGTCGTTCAGGTGTGTGAGGAAAGGCTGCAGTTCTCCCTCAGTGAAAATGTGAAAACGAACATGCTCTGGGGGTCGACTGTCAAAGACACGGCGATGATCAGACCCTGGAGCGAACAAATCGCAGAGAACAGCAGTGAGCTGGTCACTGTGACGGAGCAAAACGAGGATGAAAGGTATGAAGAAGGCTGGATTAGGAAATCTGTGTTTGTCTTAAATGCTCGATTGACCCTAAACAATGAAAAACAAAACAAAAACACAACACAAATGTTCTACCTTTCCTCTACCTTTAGTGGTATCTTATGGAGGCCATTAAAAGTGTTTTTTATTCACAAAACACTTTTTTCATTGCGGCTCAGCAGTATTCAGACATAGAGAACATTTTGATTTTGATTTTCTCAGTTTTTAAGATATATTTCTTCACCTTCACCACAGTATAGCTGAGATGAATGGATTTTCATTTCCAGGGCTTAGACTATTAAACATTTATATATTTTGAAAAATCATCTCTTTTCAGAAACAGTTTCTCCCTTACTTTTGAACAGCACACAATGCGACAAGAAAGTAGTAGTAAGTAGAACGTTTTGCAGAAAGTATTTCGAAAGGAAACTGTTGACAGTAACATCTGCGGGTTACAGGGATACCATCAACCTATTCATCTAGTTGTGAGCACCATGAATGAAATACAAATTAGATGAAAGTGATGAATCCTTGAAAAATCTAAATAAAACTCTGCATGACCAGATACCACAAGGGTTAGACAACAAAAACAACGATATGATTATATTTAGTTGAAAAACCCCTTTGACATTGCTCTTTTAATTCATGTTTGTTTGTGATTTGTTGTTGTTGTTGTAGCCAAGAGGAGCAGGAAAGTTCCCCGAGCTTTCAGCCGCACACGGAGTCTGAAGAAACTAATGCTGAGCCGCTCACTGTGATTGAACAACCTGAGGTCACAACCCCTCAGCCTACTGCGAACCAGGCTATGAAAGGTACCTTCAGGTTGCACGGAAATATATTCATGGTTGACATCATTAAATACAAATTGGCATATTTCGGTAGCTATACACAGTTGCTATAGAGTATCCATGTGGTTACTATTCAAAGTAGCAGAAATAGCAGAGGGGGAAACAACTGGAGTAAATGTGAAAAACAAAATCCAGTTTATCCTGTGTTTTTGGTAGTTGCTAGGCTCAGAGACAACAGGAAAGTGGTCCAGTTGTCTGTGCTACAGCAGCAACTACAATAAAACCAGCAATAAAATGCCAGGGTCAGGGTGGGAAATGTTATTGGTTTCCATTTAAAGTAAACTTCTTCAGTCTCAAGAAGAAAAGGTAGGATAAAGAGAGGAAAAAAGTGAATGTCAACAGCAGTCAATAACTAGCATATCTTTGCATGTAAAGGTTCTGCAAATGTCATCCAAATCTTTGAAGCGGTCCTAGTATGCACATTTTCAGAGTTTATATTTGTATTTTGTGCCTCTGCTTTGACATGATTACATACTTTAAAGTTCAAAAAGTGTTTTATTTTTCTCATACTAGCTGTGCTTCAGCTTCACCGGCCTCTTAGCCTATCACGTAGAGTGTGTTGGAAAACCCCAAAAACATAATAATAGGGCCCCTTTAAATAATTTGTATCTCATGTCTAACCTCTCTTCCCTACATTCACAGCAAAACTTGCTCGTCTGTCCCTCGCCCTCCCTCCTCTCGCTCTGACTCTGCCCCTCACCTCCTCTGGAAAAGGAGGGTTTGGGGACGGTGCGATTGGAAATCGAATTGTGAGACGGAGAGGTCTGTCCTCAGGAAGCGACCCTGACGATGAGGAGGAGGAGGACGAGCAGGAGGACGAGAGCTCCCGGAGGGTGATAGTCGTCACAGAAACAGATATGGACAAACGCGTCGGGCTCAGGAGTTTACTGAAATCACCGAAGGAGCCGATGGACAGAGAGAAGGACAGAGGAAGAAACGTGTCCTTTTTTGATGATGTCACAATCTATCTTTTTGATCAGGTACTTCCCTTTCCTAAATAATTTATTAACAGGAGATAGTTTGTGATTCAATAAAAGGAATCCTGATTTTTCTGTTTTCTTACAACAGGAAACTCCAACCTATGAGTTGGGCAGTTCAGCGCCCACAAGTCCAGCCCCTGTGACGGTCAAAAACAGCAAGTTGGATTTGCGTGGTAAGATCAAAACATTTTACAACGCCTAAGAGTCTCACATTACTGATTAGACTCAATGAGAAAGTGACATTTTTTTCATGGTTCTAGGAATACCTCTGTCAATCAGTCCACCACTTTCAGACTCTAAAATTTCAACCAAAATTCACAATCCCAAAAAAACCAATCGTACTGGCTTGGTGATTCCATCACCACCAGGAGGTTAGCATTTATGAAATTCTCAGGATAATAATAATAATACATTGTATTTGTCATCCGCTTTTACTGGTGCTCAAAGACCCTTTACAATGATAGAAAAATAAAAATCAAGCCCAAAAAAACAACATTTAACACTAGGACATTAATCACACATTAAAAACAGTCAAAAATGTGAGATGTTATCAGTGTTTTGAAGATTGGGGAGGTTTGTGCCGTCTCTGATTTGTTTTGGAATGAGTTCCAGAGGGAGGGGGCAGCGATGGAGAAGGCTCTAGGTTTGGTGCTTGATCCATGTAGTAATGAACAAGACATTGGCGCCTGATAAGCGAAGGCAGGGGGAAGGGCTGTGGTGGTGGAGCAGCTCAGTGAGATAGGAGAGAGGCCTGGTTGTTGGGTGCTTTGTGTGTTAGGAGAAGGATTTTTAAGTGTATTCGTTGAAGGACAGGAAGCCAGTACAGGTTTTTGAGGACAGTGACGATGATGTATTGAAGTTTATTGAGAATGTTGGATGATGAGCCAAAAATGCTGTTACAGTAGTCCTGTCTCGAAGTGATGAATGTGTGGATGAGGGTTTCTGCAGCAGGGAAGGAGAATAATGGGCGGAGGGGGCAATGTTTTTGAAGTGGAAGAAAGCCAAATTTAATACCTCTGCTGTAGGTTGTGTTTGTGCTAGTACGATGTTTAATATAATGAACCTGCTTAAGATCAGAAAGATAGCATTGTCAGTGTGTATACGTGAGCATTCAGGTCAAAGCACAGTAATGTCATGAGGGTCATCCCTGTGTTCACAGGCAGATTGGTATGGGCTGTTTCTACAGTTCAAATTGCAAAGAAAGGAAGGACGCCATCAGTGTCTAAAGTCAGTCTTGTCTGCCAATTTGAGAGTGTAGGTTTTAAGAAGTTTAACATCAGTAGGCTTTAATCTGTAGGTAGATGATTTAAGCATATTGCCCCGGTAAAACATACGTTGAACATTTGACCCAATCAAGGCCGGATTAGTACCTCCAGGGGCCCCTGGGCACTGAGCGCTCATGGCCACCCCCCCAACCCACGTACCAACAAGTAACACCACGCCTACCCAATCATACCAACATGACCAATATTTAGAATTTTCAGTCAATCTGGCATGTCAAATCGCACACCTATTTGTCAAAAGCAGGGACGCAGCCACATAGTTCAACCAAAGTAGGTCTAGCCTTTTGCCCTTTTAATAAAAAATCACAAGACAAAGATACAATGGATAAGATCCCAAGACAGTGTATGGCTCAGGAATACCTAGGTAATATCACTCAAAACCTCAGAGCAGCACCCCACTTAATGCCAAAATATGACTGGCTGGCTGTACAAGTACACGAGGAGTTTTATTAGTTACAAACATTGAGAATTACACAACTAAAATATGTAGTAAAATGGTGTGGTTCCTATGAGAGCTGTTCATTGGCGCATGAAGATAAAACGGGCCAACTTTTGAGAGAGCGAAACGTCACAGATTAACCGTCATGCCTGAGAAGTACCCGTATGTGCGCTCATAGAGCATGGGCAACTTTAACCACGCCCCCCAAAAGGCTTGTTCACATTAAGCACGTCAATTTGCGTACACGTAACAGCACCGCACGTTCATGACAGCATGGTACTGGATTTGTTATAATGGATTTGATATTAACGAGGCGGCCGCGGCAGCTAGCGGCTAGCTAGTAATTATGCTAAGTTACACATCAATCGTTATGTACTTTTATATTCCGCTGATAACAGGATCTAGTGATATCCAAGCAACAGAGCTTGATTTAGCATGATACTTGTGTGGGTTGTACATGAAACCACTTGGTAATATATAAAAATGTATTTATTTTGAAGCCTGTTAAGATCAATTGTGAGTTAAATCTTATCTAAAAATTAAAGCTGATGATGGATTACTGACTGTGGTGGAGTTAAAATAACAATAGCCTATTTCTCTTTGAAATGTGATGGAGTAAAAGGATAGTAACTGTGACTATTCATGTTAAGTACCTCACAAGTAACAAAAACATATATAATACTTGAAGGAAAGGTGTAAAATGTTTCCATAAATACCAATATCACACACTACAACACAGACTATAACACCCCTTTTTGTTAAATACCAACCATATGTATATATATATATATATATATATGCCGCTAAAACTGTGTAATATACCAGGCTGCTAAATCCTCCAAACTCTTACAGGATGTGTGATTTGTCAAATGTGTAACTTTTTTGAATTGAATTACAGCAAACATGTGCAATATATCCATTATTACAGCTCCGTGGGCTCACTGGCAGTAAGGCGATATGGGTCTGTTCTTATTGTGCATCCATGGGTAAAGGTAAAACGCATGTAGTACTGAACACGTAACATGAACGTGCCGGGCAGCGCGGTCCCGTGGGTTAGATGCGCGTTCATAATGCTGAGGAAAATAACTCAGAATAATGTTATTAGCACATTTTACAACTTGAGGACCGAATGTTTTTAATAAGGGCTATACAAACGTTCATACTGGGTAGTTTAAAAAAAATTATCCAACGATTTACAGACCACTCTTTCCCAATGTAAGTCAATGGGAAAAAGTGTTTCCGGGCCCAGCAACCTAACGGAGGTGTAGTACTGCCGTTTGGCCACTACGAATATTCTCATCAGAGTCCGGCGCACTTCCTGGGGGCTTGAGTGAGACCTACAGTACAGAGACGGTTTAGAAAATATATTAATTTGACCCTATAGAAAAGCTGTGTTATTTATGGCGAAGAGTGAGTATAATTTAAAACAATGTATGATGAGTGAGGTTGTGCCCGGAATTTGTTTTTAAATTAAAATAATATATATTTTTTTCATCTTGTCATTGAGTGCCCTCTTTGCTCAAGGGCCCCTGGGCACTTGCCCAGATTGCCCATATGGTTAATCTGGCCTTGGACCCAATGGAAAAACAGCAAAACACTCAGCAAAACATTGCTGAGTAAATAACCTATATGAAAGGTCTTGTTAATGTTTCATATTAAAGGATATTTAGACGGGGAACATCACAGAACCACTATGATGCTTTGGACTCTTATTATCAGACTCAAGAGATAAAGCGCCTGACATATTTTCCCTTCTACACATGTACTATCCCTATGTCCCCACCTTGAGCCGGAGAATGACGTAATACAATCTGACAGCCACTAACTCGCTTCCACCCACCGAAATGGAAAACCCTCATTTCAACCTCCTCCTCTCCAAACATGCAGCCAGAATTAATCTTCTATAATTTTCCCCTCGGCTCTGTGACATGTGGAACTGAGCGACGACATAAATCCTGCGCTCAACAATGCAAGGCTAAGCTGTGTTCCCCAACACGTCTTCATTTGCTCCCTCGACTTCCTCTCGCTATCTCGTACACTGATCACCTAATTTCAGAGAGTAATGAAGGTTTGGGCTCACAGTGTCCTTTGGGCTGCAGAAACTCCAAAATTAGATGCTTTCATGATCTTTTGTAGAGACTTGAAACGGAAAGAGGAGGCTGTGTTCAGTTTGAGCTATTTTTAACTAGAATCTGTCCAGCATTGCTTTAGTGTGATTTTATTATAGATCATTAGATTATGTTCTGACTTGTATTTGGTTTTATAGTAATATCTTACTCTATTTGTATTAAATACCCTGCCATAAACGGATGGTGTACCTGAACTTCAGTATGTTAATTGTCATGTATTTTATTTTAATGAAATGTTACCTGGGTATGCTATACATCATTAAGCGCTTTGAGCACCAGGAAAAGCGCTTTATAAATGTAATGTATTATTATTATTATTATTATTATTATTATTATTATTATTATTATTATTATTATTATTATCTGTAATCTGAAGGAAAACAATTAAACAAAAAATAATTATGCATTGTATTTTTTTGGCAACATGAAATGAATAAATACAAACACATCACATTCCTACTATTTACTGAACTGTACTCTTTTGTTAAAATACGTGAGGAGTCTGGTAGCAGCATTTTGAAATAGGAGTACAATTCAACACATGCATCCCAGGAACTTGTGACTGAGATTTTTCCTCTTTCCATCAGGAAACATCAAGAGCAAAGAATCAAAAAGGAAGGAGGATCTATCAATCAAACCAAGGTCGTCTGTGGGGTCAAAACACGTATCATCGTCGCGCTTCACTGTCAGCCCTGCCAACGACCCCCACCTCGCGTGATGTTACGTGTCGTCGTGGGAACCTGTGGGAGCTGAACCCTCTCGGACTGGCCAGCAAATTAACCCCAACAACCAGCCATTCACCCAGAGGCTATTTTTTTATTGAAGAGGCAACGAAAGATTGAAGCTCCTGTTCTCAAAGCTGGACACATTCCAGGTTTTACCAGCGACAGGATTTTGTATGACAGGGCTTGTTGTGCTCCTGCCTGCCACTATTTACAGAGTTTTATTCTTTAAGTCTTTGGAAAAGGCAGCATATGCTAGGAGAAGAGGAGCCTGGAGCTTTGTAAAATCTGAAACAGATTTGACAGCTATGCAGTGGGAGTCTTGCTGTGTACCAGCTTACCTTCTCTCTTTCTTCTTCATTCTGTGGTATTATTCCCCAGATGTGCGGGGAACGCACTTTCTTTAGTCATTCATTCGTCTAGGTAAACGCTTGGATTCCATTCCTCTCTTTATTAAAGACGTTTTTCATTGCAGTCAGTCAGATGTTCTTGCAGCAGTTTGGAGCAGAAATTGCTTGACTCCTGTATTTGACAACACTCATTTGCATTTGTACAAATGTCATAATACAAGTGAATACAACATCATTTTAGAGCTGTTTACTTTTAGATGTATTCTTAGACTGCACGTAAAATGAAACAAGCTATGCTTATTTTATACTTTAAGTTCCAAAAAGATTTGTTGTTAATTTATATTAAGTATATTTATTTTATTTATTTATTTAAAGCAAGTTTTCATGCAATATTTTATTGATTTGATTATTTATTAATTGTATTTATTTTATTTACTGCAATTAACCTATTAACTTTGCTCTGATTTGTTTGGGACAGAATGCATCTGGTTACATCTTCTCTAAGATCTTCATAACAAATAAATCAAAAATATTTTCCCAAACGTCTTAATTGCTAAAAAAATAAGTATTTTGTATAATTTTACTTGTTAATATATGCCAATCTGTAAGAAAATATGTCCTGTAATGTGTCATTATTTTTCGAATGTCTATGAATTTTTAGCTGTCTTGTCATTATTTTTACCTTGTTTAAAGACCGCTATCGTAGTTTAGCATGAAAAATTGAAGCCTTTCATCTGTAAATAATTCCATTTGTTTGTGTATCTGTTAATTTACCCCATTTTCTACTAATAACAGTCCATCATGCAGTCGAGGTCCAACTAGTCCATTTGTTTAGTCTGTTTAAATGTTGGTTAAAAACCTGTATTGTTTAAACAATTGTTTTCGAGGGATAATGTATAAACAAGGGGAAATAAAAACTACAAAATGTGAACCTCTTAATGAACTGTTTCATGGCAATAATTCGTATGTTCTGTAATCGCAACGCGCTCTATTTAAGACAAAGAAGTGTTTTGACTTCATTTCCCAGAAATCAGTTCGAAAGCTGTTACGTATTTAGTCTGCGTCAAACGATTTAGCCACCATGTACACCACGGGCTGAAAGAACATCGTATTAAGAGTCGTTTTTACCTTAATACTTACACCTTAAATAGGTGATAAGGCGTATTGTTTTTTGTTTTCAAAAGGCGACCGTCTTTTGATATCTAAAGGTAAGTTGGTGTTACTTATAAAGCGTTTAGGGAAATCAACGGCTGCGTCTAGCCAACGTTTGCTAATGCTAGCTAGCACACACTCATTCAGTATTAACGATACTAACACTGCATTTAGCCACAGTGTTAAACATACTCGGGTCTTAGAGCTACAGTATCAGTTTTCGTCCTCTCTATAATTCAGCTTGCGTTTATTTTGTATTTGTAGTGTTGTTTAAGAGTCCTAACAGGGCCGCAATACCATGAAATTAGTTGTGTGTTACTACTTTAAAAACAAACCCCAGTTGTGTACACATGTTTCGGTCACAAGAAATACATTTGTAAGATGTTATCTAAGGCTATCAATTATTCACATTAGTATTTTCCTGTGCATTATGTGGCTTATATGTTACAAGATGTCAACATTTTCCACAAATAGAAAGAGCACAGCGCGAGGGCTTACATTGTTTGTAGTTCTTTTGTGTAGCGTCCAAATTACAATAAAGTAAAACAATCCGGTCTTTGCAGTTGTGAAGCAACTCTGAGTCAAACGTTAATTCCGAATACCTCTGGGTTTTGACCCCTTAAAAATAAGCACTTGGGCTTGATAGTGAAAATGATTTTCATACATTTTTATTGCGGTATAAAAAAAATAAAACTTAGGGGACTGAAAGAGCACGATCTAGTATTTGACAAGAAAATAAATCAGATATTTAAAATGTCATGTCATGTCATGTCCTGCATCATGTCTGCAAAGTGTTGGATGCATCATGTCCTGCAAAGTTTATAGTCTTTAATGACCTTTGTGACCTCCTAGCCATCTTGTGATTCTTTTTTAATTTGATTCTTTTTTCTCCAATTTTTTTCTAACATTTGCTTTGCAATATAATTTGCTTTTCATTTCTTCTGCTATAACAGTAAGATAAGACAATGAAATCACTTTAAAACAGAACGGGTGGCATTTGAGTGTTTTGTCGTTGCTATCTTCACACATGCCAGATGCTATACGGTGTTGTTGTAGATATTATTATAACTTAAACGATGGAGCAACGAGTAACACAAAACAATGGTTGATTTTTACTGACTTAAAAAAGACTGATAGTTCTGTAAGCTCATATTTTCCTCTAACTTTCTGCCGCCGGTTGCAGATGTCTCTGGCGGACGAGCTCCTGGCCGATTTGGAGGAGGCCGGCGATGAGGGGGAGGAGGGGTTGTATCCTGAGGAAGAGGAACGGGATAGTGATGGAGAGGCAACGCAGGGAAGGGCAGAAGGAGCGTTGGAAGACATCCCAGAGGAGATGGAGGTCGACTACAGTAAAGCGGAGAGTGTTGGCTCCATCGCCAAGCTGCGCAATAGCAAGCAGGTGAGTTGTGTCACATGGGAGCTTTGTGCATATATTATGAGTAATGCGTCCATTCTGACCTTTATTTCTGTCTACAGTTTTCAGAGATCATGGAGAAAATTTCATTTTATAGTGGAAAGCAGCGCAAGAACTCAGAGAGTGAGTGTGACCAATGTGCATGCAACAATATGGTTGACAAAGTTTCTTGCAGAATGAAATTCCTAATGTTAACCAAGAATCTAAAGAAAGTTGGTCATTTTTGTTTCTCTTTCAGTCTCTGGTCTAGTGGAGTCCGACCCAGAGTACAGACTGATCGTTGCAGCCAATAATCTCACAGTGGAGATCGACAACGAGCTCAGTGAGTCGGCTGTTCCTGCTTAATAAAAAGAAAACTCACTTAAAATGTAAAGGGTTGTTTGTGTATCTGCTATGCATAACAAACCTTTGTTCTGGGTTTCAGACATCATTCACAAGTTCACTCGGGACAAATACTCCAAGAGGTTTCCAGAGCTCGAGTCTCTCGTGCCAGATTCTCTAGATTACGTCCGCACAGTCAAGGTGAGATGAGATGTTTAGTAAAGCCACATTTGACCCCTGAAAGCAGTCATTTTGATTACATTTATTTATTAACCTTATGGGTTATAATAATGATTATTTCAACATAAACCAAATCTTAACTCGGATATTTTTTGTACTTTTAACCTGTTTTAAGAATTTTGTCCTAAAGCTTGATAAGTACCATGCAAATAAAATATTATGATTTCTGTTACTTGCTCAGGAATTGGGAAATAATCTGGAGAAGTGCAAGACCAATGAAACTCTGCAGACAATCCTCACCAACGCCACTATCATGGTGGTCAGTGTCACAGCCTCGACCACACAGGGGTGAGTCGGCACACATCTGGTTCATCAAAATAATGGCGCCCCGCCACAGGACATCTGAGGGTCACAGTCTCCGTACAATGCTTATTGACATGTTTACATGTGTTTTTAGAATACTCCTTAGTGACGATGAACTGCAGCAACTGGAGGAATCTTGTGACATGTCTCTGGAGCTGAGCCAGTCCAAACTCAGGATCTATGAATATGTGGAGTCCAAAATGTCATTCATCGCCCCAAATCTGTCCGTCATTGTCGGAGCGTCAACAGCTGCCAAGATCATGGGTGAGAGATGCAGAAAGATTCATTTTAGATTCAAATAATTTAGTTTAATAAATACTATAACATATTATTCTGCGGTCCATGTTATCTGGGGGACGTGTGGCGCAGTGGGTTAGTGCGTTTGTGTTCGGATCAGGGGAGTACAGGTTCAAACCCCACTGCAGTCAGCATGTCGTTGTGTCCCTGGGCAAGACACTTCCCCCCAAATTGCTCCTGTGGGGATTGTCCACAGTATTGAGTATGGAAGTCGCTTTGGATAAAAGTGTCTAAAAAGTAACATGTAATGTAATTTATCCAACAAATAACATTTAGGGGATTTCTCTTGGCTGCAGGTATTGGAGGCGGCCTCGCTAACCTCTCCAAGATGCCCGCCTGTAACCTGATGCTGCTGGGCGCTCAGAGGAGGACGCTGTCTGGCTTCAGCAGCACCTCCCTGCTGCCACACACCGGCTACATCTACCACTGTGACGTGGTGCAGTCACTGCCACCCGTCAGTACATATAGCAACATTAATGTATTGCATTCAAACTGAGCAAGTGGGACCTTGTTGTTAACACCTGTCTTCTATTTGTGTCTTCAGGACCTCAGGAGGAAGGCCGCTCGCCTGGTGTCTGCTAAATGCACCCTGGCTTCCCGAGTGGACAGCTTCCACGAGAGTTCAGACGGCAAGGTGACTGTCAGACTCGACCACATGCACAATAATACTGAAATAAGGATCTGTAAACCTTATCGTACACTGTTGTGGTTTTTTGTAAGAAAATAAATCTGACTCGTTTTCCTCCTTTTCTTTTTGCAGGTTGGCTACGATCTCAAAGAAGAGATAGAGAGGAAGTTTGATAAATGGCAGGAGCCTCCGCCAGTGAAGATGGTCAAACCGCTGCCAGCCCCGCTGGACGGACAGAGGAAGAAGAGAGGAGGAAGGAGGTACACATCCTGTCAGCTGCTCTGTGAACCGGCTGCAGATTTAGAGACGAGTGGAGTGCGATATGTAGATATGCAGCTTGACGTCAAAATGCATTCATTTATGCCGCCTTTCATTTAAAGTGAAAGCCACCAACAGGGAAGCAAAACTGAAAGCAGGAAAGCTTACGTAACCTGCTCTGCCAAGTTTAGATACCAGCGTCCCCTCGACATGTGTAAATATAGCACACCAACTCTCCACTGTTGTCTCTTCTCCTGAAGGTATCGAAAGATGAAGGAGCGTCTCGGACTGACTGAGATCAGGAAGCATGCAAACAGGATGACCTTTGCAGAGGTTTGTAGATCATGCATCCTTTCTCTTATTACTCTTGTTTAGCCTTTGTGCCCTATGCATTGTCAGTGTCGTTAATTTAAGGAAATGATAGGATCAGTAGTAATAGTGTTGTCCAAGTGTGACCCGTTGAAGTTATGTGGCTCTTCTCAAGGGATGCACCTAACCTCACGTTGAATAGTCTTCTCGGCAAGCATCTAAATAAAAACACAGATTCAAAAACTTGAGTTTCTGAGAGGAGGAAGGCTAAAAGCAGATATCCTTGCTTCTTCTTTCATCAGTTTATAAACACAAAAACAGAAACCAAAGAGAAACATGGCAAACATCAGTAACAATACGAGCAGTCATGTTTTCAGATTGTTGTCCTTGCCAAAATGCTAGCTTTTGCTTCTAAATAAAAGTGTCTGAAGACGAGCAGTCTTGAATTAAATTAATTTTCTGAGGGATTGCGTTTTGTAACTTGATTTAAATATTTATGTTAATTCCAAAAACGCAAACGTTTGCATAAAGGGCTTGGAAAAAAAACAAAATTCCTACACTTGAATAAGACTTTTCATGACAAACTAAGCTGCTATGACTACTGACGACATTCATATACTATATCTTTCTTTATGAACTTTTCATAACCTACTAGAATACCTTTTCATAACTTGTGACTTTTTGGAATTATACTATAACTTTCTTAAAGGTGGGGTATGTAATTCACTTCAGAAACACTTTTTGTTATATTCCATGGAATGCTCTTAACATCCCGATAGCAATGAATATCTGAAGTGCTTTGACAATAAATCCATAAAAAAATCATCTGTGGAAGCCGTAGTACTGTAAAAAGCACGACCAATCATTTTTAGCCGGCCCGGCTAAAATAACTGGATGGCCTACCTGCCTGTCAGCCTTCCATCTGTGCACAAACTTATCTCGTGCCCTCATTGGTCATGTGCGCGTTCGTGTGTGTTGGAGGAGGGGCTCTGTAAGGAAGTCTGAAGGAAGGGGCAGATTATTTTCGGCTGCGTGCTTTCAAATTCTAGCGCACTCGAGCTGGTTTCTCCATTCTTACCTACCCTACCTTTTTTTTTTAAAGTTGTTATTCTTTTACAACATACTACACTATGACATTTTTATGTTTATACAAAAAAAAAAACTTTACTATGACATTTTAACTCTTTTCATAACATGCTATACTAGGAGTGATTTATGTTTTAGTTTTCTCCCTCAACATTTGATTGACATTACAATGACTGTTTATGAAGAAGCATAAACAAACTAAGTGTTTGAGCTTGATATTTGATGATGTTTTGCAGATTGAGGATGATGCCTACCAAGAGGACCTGGGCTTCAGTCTGGGTCAGTTGGGGAAGAGCGGCAGCGGGCGAGTCCGGCAGGCTCAGGTCAACGAGGCCACCAAGGCCAGGATCTCCAAATCCCTCCAGGTAAACTCATCCATGGTTCACTTTCACTCCTACAACGAAAAGCTGCTTTTTTCCTGTCTTTTTAAGTCTGCATATTCTTTTGTTGCACACTACAGAGGACGTTGCAGAAGCAGAGCATGACGTACGGAGGAAAGTCCACCGTCAGAGACCGCTCCTCAGGGATCAGCTCCAGTGTGGCGTTCACTCCTCTCCAGGTAAAGAGTTCAACACTTCTTTGATTGAACAGCGTCCTGATTGAATTCACTTGACTAACGCTGAGCTCTTCTCTGCAGGGGCTGGAGATCGTGAACCCAGGGGCTGCGGAGAAGAAGGTGGCTGAAGCAAACCAGAAGTACTTCTCTAACATGGCGGAGTTCCTCAAAGTCAAGAAGGAATCAAAGATGTGAATACACACACACACACACACACACACACACACACACACACACACACACAATCATCCAATCAAAGCAGACACCATGGAACCCTTTGATCTCTGGGTTTACACACAAAGTGCACACGGACAGTTGCGCTCAGTACTGTAAAGCGATATTTTCAACATGGTTTGACATTGTGCTTCGTCCTGTATTTCGTTTGAACTTTTTCCATTTTAATAAAAACATAAANACTTCTCTAACATGGCGGAGTTCCTCAAAGTCAAGAAGGAATCAAAGATGTGAATACACACACACACACACACACACACCATCATCCTGCACACGGACAGTTGCGCTCAGTACTGTAAAGCGATATTTTCAACATGGTTTGACATTGTGCTTCGTCCTGTATTTCGTTTGAACTTTTTCCATTTTAATAAAAACATAAAAATGTAACAAAGTGTCCTGTCCGCCTTTTTAGAGAAGGAAAGAATATGCTTTTGCTAAATCCCACGAGTAAATGCATACTTTAAAGGATAAACCGTTAGCTCGACGTTGGTCTTGATACTTGCGTAGCACATTTGCTAAATCTATGCCAAGTGCATTTCAAATCAGTGTAACATAATTAGATCTATAGGACTGACAGGACTTAACACCACACACTGACTTGTCATTTCTTAAAAGTATTTATTGAAATTTTACAATCCTGTTTATAACCCCGTTTTATGACATCTCCCATGCAGAACTGTGATGAGGAAAAAATGTAAATAAGTCTTGAAATTCACATTTTTAGCAATTTCTTAACCGACCATCCCTTTCTGAAAACCTTAAAAGCCCCAAAAATAGAATCTATAAAAGGCAAATCTCTCATAACTTCGCTCTTTTTTCAATCCATCCCCCCTCTACCCCTCCCTCCCCAAAAAGCCTGAAACTCATCACACTAGCGGTGCCTTTAACTGCAGCACAGATCTTGAGTTTTCATGGTCGCTTAACTGGAAAAATCTGATTCAGTTTAACACTCCCTGTTCAAACTGCCAAGAAAAGTGAGATCTGTCCCAGCAGATGACATCTACTTGTCCTGCAGTGTAGAACGTGAGACACTTACGTTGAATCTACCATCAGATTTAGGATGTCTGTGTTTCTCTACATGTAAACAGCTTGAGTGCACATTCACTTCAAATAACAGGTATTAAATTAACAAAGTGAATTTAAGGATGACGAACAGAATGAAACTGAACTAAAGGTGGGAAGTTGACTCAAACCAAACTCAGATGTATTTTCTAACTCTGTATTTTGAGAGTGATTAATAGGTGATCGGGAGACTGTACATTCACTACAGTTAGCATGGCCTTTTGTACAAATCAAACATCACGTAGATAAATGTCTCAAACCCTATTTTAAGATTTATTTTACAAGTTTATTTGTTGGTCACAAACATGAAAGCGCCATAATAATGCATTTTCTTTGACAGGTTAACTTAAAAACATTTTATTTGTAAAGAGAGGGAGTCAGAGACCAGTTCAATTGCATAGCAATTTAATCCATGTCCAATAAGGACTCTTTCCCTGTCACAGGGAGAGGCCCTGTGGTCACTCTCAATCAGCGTTTAAATCGACCAAGACAATATCAATAAAAACTATTGATAACCGCTCACTATCTCTAATAGGGACCATATTCAACAGGCAGCGTAGGGTCTTAAAGAAGTCCGTCCTACACACCATGACTAAATGTCCACTGTGCCTCCCCATTTAAACCACCAAATTACAGTAAATACAATATGGGCAGTTTGTTTTGTGTCAAGTCAAAGGCTTCCAGGCTCATGTGGGGTAGGTGGTACAGAGAATCTTGTTGAAACGGAAAAATAAAACATGAGAAACATGCATGGGGTAGGCTTTCCTAATGCCACATACTGAGTGTGCACACAGACGGGCCCAAACGCAGACCTCCAGTGAGAGCCCGCCTTCTCTTGCAGCGCGATGCATTTGATCAGACCCACAGGGCATTTTTGTCAAAAGCAAAGCGCTACAGAAGGAGTGAAGGCTCCACGTAGAGATGCAGCCTATACAGACGCCAGTCTCCATGTTGGGAGAGGGTTTCTACTACACATCACAATCTCTATCCACAGTTTGAAGTTCAGTCTCGGAATGTCAACAGCAGCACGTTTTGTCTCTCTGTCCTTTCGTGTCCCATTGTCCGTCACTGCAGGTCTCTGTCTTCCAGGTACCTGTACTCGAAGGTGAATCCCTCCTTCTTCCTCTGGCCCCATTTCTCATAGTCAAAGTAAATGTAAGTGCCCTGGAGGAACAGCAGAGAAGAAAGAGCAATCATTCAAAAACTGACCACAAAATGACAGTTCATTATTTCAGGAGGAAATGTGAACACAAAGATCCTATTTGTGCAAAGCATGGTTTTATTCAATTGTAGGCGATGCAACAAACATTTGACCAAATATCCTATTGATGTCAATAGGCCTCTGCCAAAATGATCTGTCCATTCTTATTTACAATGATTTCTCAAACTCTTAAGTCTGTAATCAGCTGACCACTTTTCTGAAGTAGAAGACTGATCCTGTGGAAATCCCTTAAACTGTGTTGTACATTGGATTTCCACTTCTTTTTTAAACAAGACAAAAAAAGACCTTTCAAGTACATCTAGATTTCTATGTTTTCAGATTTTCCAACCTGACAAGATTAGTTTAAAGAGTAGAGGAACAACACTGATGTGCTGTTTCTCATCTTCATGAAGTGTTTTCCAGTTTGTTTAGTTCCCTGCTGGTAGCTGCATTGTTATTGATCCTGGTCAGGACGCATGTGTTTTAAAATATGTATTTGTTCCTTGATAGCACTATAAAAGGTTACATGTGTTCTTATTTGATACAAACCTTGTCTATTCCTGCAGAACCCAATTTAAAAAAGGTTTCAAAAGAAACGTGTGAACTTTGTTGATTCTGCACCTGTTCAAACTCATCAGTGATAGTCTTGGGCTCCTCGTGCCTCTGGAACCACATCATGTACTTTGTGTGAAACCTCCATGACTGTTTCTTCAGAGCCTTGGCAGACAGATACTGAGCCTTGGTGCCCTGAGAGAGGGGGGGGTCAAACACAACATCAAGCTTGCATCAAGACTTTAATAAGGAACAGGAAGGTTGTCGGGGAGCAAAGTGTTTTACCTCCAGGTAGTAGAAGATGAAAAAGAGAGTTTCTGTGGACAGTCTCTGGTAAAACTCAATGGAGTCCGAGTGGTGCGGGGGTATCTGATGGTGGAAGGGTAGTGTGGGACACGGATTCCTCATCAGGTATTGCCTTTAGGACAGAAGCACGGATATCAAAGTCAACTGTATTGTCAATCTTCCGTGTACAAACAGAGAGATCGAAATACCGTTCCCCACAATCCCAAATATAAAAACAAATGTAGATATATATATATACACAGTCAAAGACACATTTTACATGAATCCCTACAAAATAACAGTCACTTCAATATTTTGAGAACGTGCATTAGTGCAAGGCTAGTAAGAAACGAATGATAAGGCTCCAAACAATACTTCAGGGGCTACACTTCAATAAAAACAACAAAATCCATCCAAAACATTTACTGTGTCATTAAATAAAAAAATGTATAGTATAGATGTCCTAAAAAAGACAGAGTAAAGTAACTTATAAAATGTCATTTAGTAGGTGATAAAAGCTCAGTTCAAATGTATGGGATACAACATAGTTTTAAATCATAGTTAAAGTGGACTTATCATGCTATTTTTAGGCAATAGCATAGGTCTCAGATATATAAAAAACATGTCTATGAAGTGTTTTGCTCAAAATACCAAACAGATCACCCATTCTAGCCATGCCTCATATCCCTCTATTTCACTTCCTGTTTCAAAAGTGCTGATTTTGGCTATAAAGCTATAAAAAAGAAAAAAGGAGGGGGCTGAGCTCATTGTCATACTGATATTCTGTACAAACTGTGAAGTCCACTGAGACAAATGTAACATTTGTGATATTGGGCTATATAAATAAACATTGATTGATTGATTGATTGATTGAAGTTGGTCATTATTTGGGACTTGAGACCTGTTGTTCTTGAGTTGGTATTTGACGACTTGCTGGTCATTATTTTGAACTTTACTTGATAATTGTTGGTCTTATTTGGGACATTATGACTTGTTAGTCTTTATTTGGGACTTGA